GCCCCGAGCGAAAGAAATAAACTTTCTCTTTGCATTCGAGGGTAATACGACACCGTCTACCACCTTGATGACCTAGGCAAAAAAGCATAGGGATGTTATAAAATTTTCATTTCTCCTTTTTTTTCAAGACGTAACCGGTTAACCTGGGATTCGATTCATTCGAACCCGCACTATCGCCCTGCATGCATTCCCCCGATACACTTCGCAAACACAATAATAGAAAAGCTGACAGGTTTCTTTTTCTAAATACATACACATTCTTCCAAATAATTGCTTCACGTTATGATCTTGCATTTGAGTCCTATTTGAAAGCTGTCTTTGATGGTACGGTACGGGATAGCGCCAGGCATGCCATGCCAATTTATTTTCTCAGCCGACAACTAATAAAAAAATAAAAAAATACTTCCTTTGTGATGCCTCGTGACCGACGCCAGCAATCTGAATCTGAATACTGGGTCTAAGGGGAAAGCGGGCTGGGAACTGAGCCTTCAAGATGCATGGTACAACATTCGTGTGTTTTCCGATGTGGTCTTGCATCCGAAAAGGTGCTGCAGTACCGTAAGGAGGCCATCATGCTAACTTTACCCGGAATAGTGGCAGCAGATGCCCTCTATCAGGCTGGCCCTTACTCTAAGCTCTGCAGATGCCCCCCCATCTGACTGGCCCTTACTCTAAGCTCTGCAGATGCCCCCTATCGGACTGGCCCTTACTCTAAGCTCTGCAGATGCCCCCTATCGGACTGGCCCCTACTCCAAGCTCTGCAGATGCCCCCTATCGGACTGGCCCCTACTCCAAGCTCTGCAGATGCCCCCTATCGGACTGGCCCCTACTCCAAGCTCTGCAGATGCCCCCTATCGGACTGGCCCTTACTCCAAGCTCTGCAGATGCCCCCTATCGGACTGGCCCCTACTCCAAGCTCTGCAGATGCCCCCTATCGGACTGGCCCATACTCCAAGCTCTGCAGATGCCCCCTATCGGACTGGCCCCTACTCCAAGCTCTGCAGATGCCCCCTATCGGACTGGCCCATACTCCAAGCTCTGCAGATGCCCCCTATCGGACTGGCCCCTACTCCAAGCTCTGCAGATGCCCCCTATCGGACTGGCCCCTACTCCAAGCTCTGCAGATGCCCCCTATCGGACTGGCCCCTACTCCAAGCTCTGCAGATGCCCCCTATCGGACTGGCCCTTACTCCAAGCTCTGCAGATGCCCCCTATCGGACTGGCCCTTACTCCAAGCTCTGCAGATGCCCCCTATCGGACTGGCCCTTAGGCCCCGGTCACACCGAAACAAGCCACTTTGGGCTTGTTATCGCTGGCGCTCAGCTGGCTTGCGTGATCCCTGTGACACGGTCACACCAGACCTTGAGTGCAAAGCTGGAATGGCTTGTTTTTCTTACCCGCCAAATTTTGAATATCTCGAAACACACCAATGTTTGCAAGAAACTGGAGAGCAGAACGTTCGCGATCTAAAACTGTACTGTTCTAGTGTTCAGTTTTGATGAAGAAGCGAAGGAAGCCCGGATTCTGAATTGCGAAGTCGTGCTCTTTTTATTTGTTCGGTGTGCATGGACGCGATGGTTCGGGTGGTGTTTCCTGATGTCGAGCTTTCTGCCCCGCCGGTTGCCGTGATTGAACTCAGTTGCAAACCACTCTCTTCTTCGTACCCGGCTTTCTTCATGAATTCGGTCGTGCCTTGTCTTGGCCTCAAACCACAGCTCCAACAATCTACGCAGCAGTCTAGAGGCACAGCGGCAGAAATCCATGGTCGTTGGACAAAATCCAAATCAAACTGAATACAGTGTAGTTGGGGTAGACAGACTCACGGTCAAAACCAAAGGCACAGGGATAGCACGGCTCCACGGACACAAGAAAGAACATCAATATATCAGTTCATCATGTCAACTAGCTACATGGTGTGCTCCGGAGCTCCAAGCGCACTCAAATTATTTTTTGAATTTCGGCTTTCAGCCGCTTGTACAAGCTGTGGCTGAAACAAGCCGGAAAAAAACGGCTGAGAGTCAGCCACGGCTGAAAGTCGCTTGTAGGACATTTTTCAGCCATTTCCATGGTAATAGTGACGTAAACAAGCGCTTGTTTCGGCTGAACGGCTGAATCGAGCTCGGTGTGACCGCGGCCTAACTCCAAGCTCTGCAGATGCCCCCTATCGGACTGGCCCTTACTCCAAGCTCTGCAGATGCCCCCTATCGGACTGGCCCTTACTCCAAGCTCTGCAGATGCCCCCTATCGGACTGGCCCTTACTCCAAGCTCTGCAGATGCCCCCTATCGGACTGGCCCTTACTCCAAGCTCTGCAGATGCCCCCTATCGGACTGGCCCTTACTCCAAGCTCTGCAGATGCCCCCTATCGGACTGGCCCTTACTCCAAGCTCTGCAGATGCCCCCTATCGGACTGGCCCTTACTCCAAGCTCTGCAGATGCCCCCTATCGGACTGGCCCTTACTCCAAGCTCTGCAGATGCCCCCTATCGGACTGGCCCTTACTCCAAGCTCTGCAGATGCCCCCTATCGGACTGGCCCTTACTCCAAGCTCTGCAGATGCCCCCTATCGGACTGGCCCTTACTCCAAGCTCTGCAGATGCCCCCTATCGGACTGGCCCTTACTCCAAGCTCTGCAGATGCCCCCTATCGGACTGGCCCTTACTCCAAGCTCTGCAGATGCCCCCTATCGGACTGGCCCCTACTCCAAGCTCTGCAGATGCCCCCTATCGGACTGGCCCTTACTCCAAGCTCTGCAGATGCCCCCTATCGGACTGGCCCTTACTCCAAGCTCTGCAGATGCCCCCTATCGGACTGGCCCTTACTCCAAGCTCTGCAGATGCCCCCTATCGGACTGGCCCTTACTCCAAGCTCTGCAGATGCCCCCTATCGGACTGGCCCTTACTCCAAGCTCTGCAGATGCCCCCTATCGGACTGGCCCTTACTCCAAGCTCTGCAGATGCCCCCTATCGGACTGGCCCTTACTCCAAGCTCTGCAGATGCCCCCTATCGGACTGGCCCTTACTCCAAGCTCTGCAGATGCCCCCTATCGGACTGGCCCCTACTCCAAGCTCTGCAGATGCCCCCTATCGGACTGGCCCTTACTCCAAGCTCTGCAGATGCCCCCTATCGGACTGGCCCTTACTCCAAGCTCTGCAGATGCCCCCTATCGGACTGGCCCTTACTCCAAGCTCTGCAGATGCCCCCTATCGGACTGGCCCTTACTCCAAGCTCTGCAGATGCCCCCTATCGGACTGGCCCTTACTCCAAGCTCTGCAGATGCCCCCTATCGGACTGGCCCCTACTCCAAGCTCTGCAGATGCCCCCTATCGGACTGGCCCTTACTCCAAGCTCTGCAGATGCCCCCTATCGGACTGGCCCTTACTCCAAGCTCTGCAGATGCCCCCTATCGGACTGGCCCTTACTCCAAGCTCTGCAGATGCCCCCTATCGGACTGGCCCTTACTCCAAGCTCTGCAGATGCCCCCTATCGGACTGGCCCTTACTCCAAGCTCTGCAGATGCCCCCTATCGGACTGGCCCTTACTCCAAGCTCTGCAGATGCCCCCTATCGGACTGGCCCTTACTCCAAGCTCTGCAGATGCCCCCTATCGAACTGGCCCTTACTCCAAGCTCTGCAGATGCCCCCTATCGGACTGGCCCTTACTCCAAGCTCTGCAGATGCCCCCTATCGGACTGGCCCTTACTCCAAGCTCTGCAGATGCCCCCTATCGGACTGGCCCTTACTCCAAGCTCTGCAGATGCCCCCTATCGGACTGGCCCTTACTCCAAGCTCTGCAGATGCCCCCTATCGGACTGGCCCTTACTCCAAGCTCTGCAGATGCCCCCTATCGGACTGGCCCTTACTCCAAGCTCTGCAGATGCCCCCTATCGGACTGGCCCTTACTCCAAGCTCTGCAGATGCCCCCTATCGGACTGGCCCCTACTCCAAGCTCTGCAGATGCCCCCTATCGGACTGGCCCTTACTCCAAGCTCTGCAGATGCCCCCTATCGGACTGGCCCTTACTCCAAGCTCTGCAGATGCCCCCTATCGGACTGGCCCTTACTCCAAGCTCTGCAGATGCCCCCTATCGGACTGGCCCTTACTCCAAGCTCTGCAGATGCCCCCTATCGGACTGGCCCTTACTCCAAGCTCTGCAGATGCCCCCTATCGGACTGGCCCTTACTCCAAGCTCTGCAGATGCCCCCTATCGGACTGGCCCTTACTCCAAGCTCTGCAGATGCCCCCTATCGGACTGGCCCTTACTCCAAGCTCTGCAGATGCCCCCTATCGGACTGGCCCTTACTCCAAGCTCTGCAGATGCCCCCTATCGGACTGGCCCTTACTCCAAGCTCTGCAGATGCCCCCTATCGGACTGGCCCTTACTCCAAGCTCTGCAGATGCCCCCTATCGGACTGGCCCTTACTCCAAGCTCTGCAGATGCCCCCTATCGGACTGGCCCTTACTCCAAGCTCTGCAGATGCCCCCTATCGGACTGGCCCCTACTCCAAGCTCTGCAGATGCCCCCTATCGGACTGGCCCTTACTCCAAGCTCTGCAGATGCCCCCTATCGGACTGGCCCTTACTCCAAGCTCTGCAGATGCCCCCTATCGGACTGGCCCTTACTCCAAGCTCTGCAGATGCCCCCTATCGGACTGGCCCTTACTCCAAGCTCTGCAGATGCCCCCTATCGGACTGGCCCTTACTCCAAGCTCTGCAGATGCCCCCTATCGGACTGGCCCCTACTCCAAGCTCTGCAGATGCCCCCTATCGGACTGGCCCATACTCCAAGCTCTGCAGATGCCCCCTACTCCAAGCTCTGCAGATGCCCTCTATCGGACTGGCCCCTACTCCAAGCTCTGCAGAGCAAAACAAAGCATGCGTGCACTGGGGCAATGCGGTAGACCAAGACCTGCGCTGTGTGTGGATTGCGCCGAGTACATGTACAACGAGCACATAACCCCTGAAGATGGCGCAACTCCACCATGGGTGCTGTCCCACCAGAATTTCAAATTGACGTCATTTTTATGATTTCAACGATGGAATGGAAATCCATCAATACGCATCATAACACTGTGATTAACACCAGAGTCACGATATCGATACAAAAAAGTAGCAACTGATACTGATACCAATGATCCTGCACACCTTCTACAGTGACAAAAGTCAGCACAACATACAAACATCAGACTAACAAAGTTACAGAGTTCGGACAGCCAAAACGTCTACGTTAGCGGTGTTAAATTTGAAACGAAATGAAAAAACAACAAGTTAGTTAGCACGCCAGCAAACAAACGGCAGAGTGGCGATTCAATGGCGCAGCGCAGCACACCCCGCGCAGGTTATAACTAGTTAACGTGAATTCCCATAACCTGCACCAATACAACAGCATCATCTCGAAGGCAAAGAGCTGGTAGATACACATCGGCAACACCATACCCGACATCATACCGGTGAGAGAGAAGAAAACAGAGACAATGTAGCAAGAATAAAAATCCTAACATTTGAAGCTTTAAAAAAGCCAACAAGCAAATCGCTGGTGTGGCTGCTATTGATACCTATCTCCGAATGTACATTATAACAACACACAGGTGGTTAGCGTTTGTGTACAAGACAAGACAAAAGTCCATTGTATCCTAGCAAGCGGGCGAGAGAGAGAGAGAGAGAGAGAGAGAGAGAGACCGAGAGAGAGAGAGTTAGATAGATAGAGAGAAGAGAGAGAAGAGAGAGAAGAGCGAGAGATAGAGCAGAGAGCAGAGAGCAGAGAGCAGAGAGAGAGAGAGAGAGAGAGAGAGAGAGAGAGAGAGAGAGAGAGAGAGAGAGAGAGACAGATAGATAGATAGAGAGAGAGCCATTAGCACCACTTCAAAGTGGAGGCATTCACGAACACTTTTTAAGCATCAAGCCGGCGGCAGCAACAGTCACTGACTTGCAGGAGAAACCCAAGGAAGCAGGGTACGCCTCATACGTCAAGCAGTTGGCAATGCTGTACCTGGGTTGCCTAAAGCCACAGAGTATTCCTGCAGCATGCCACACAGGAACAGACAAACACACACAACACGACAGTGACACATTTGAGCAGCTGAATAACAGCACAAGAGATCGACACAGCCAGGTATTGCATGCAGACAGTGAGCGTACATAGCCCCATCAAGAGAGTGTGCAACCGTCTGCACTTTCCGGCTGCCCAGCGCCGAGACGACGGCAGAGTAGCACATCGCATGACATGGATTACGCTGGCAAACAGGCACAGGCATGAGAATGAACACAAGTACGCGAGCACTTGCGAGAGAGGGAGAGAGAGAGGGAGAGAGAGAGGGAGAGAGAGAGGGAGAGAGATAGATAGATAGAGATAGAGAGATAGAGAGAGACACCCGTCCACAATCACACAGGATATACAGCCAGAGTTAGAGATGACTACAGGAATCGTATTGGGTCAATGCTGCAAACAGAACCCTTCATGTGGTGTTCTGGAATCAGTCCAGAGGGCTAAGCTTCCAGAGGGCTAAGCTCTGCGAGAAGCGCCATTGTCACCGACTGGTTAAAAGCAGCGTGCACCCATGTGTGTGTGTGTGGAGGGGTTTTCACAAAGTTAGGCCACACCAAGTTATTTCATTGTTTCTCGTCACCTGAAAATCTCAAAAGGAACGCGGGCGGGCGGAAAAAAAACAAAATAGGGTTTGAAAAACAAAAACTGCTATTTACACTACAAAGGCCCAATTTATGACCTAAAATCAGACTATACACCACGCGTGACAGTCAATTGCAACATACAGCCAGAAAACCAGGCTCCTGCACCGGCCTCTGGTGAGGAAGTCCAGTGTTGCATGTTATTTAAATAGGAAAGAAAGCAAACCAAAGTTATTATACAAGGGGTACATAAAAGAACAGCCAAGTGCGCGCTTGTGCTAAAATTTAAAACAGAAACCTTATGGGATAAGGCATGGCATGACATGACAAGTCGACTGCAGAGCTGCGGGCAGGTTCCTTTTGAACAGTCACGGTCAAGGATGAGAATACGGACGGATCAGGTAAGGGTCGATTGAATACAACACCACTATCGGCAGACAACAGCTTTTCAAAAATTTGAGAGAAGGACAAGCCTTCGTCAACAAGTTGAGCGTTCCAAGAAAGTATCTCTCTGCTATCCACAGTCACAGCGAAGCTGACTATTTCAGATGCCATCGTCGCCCACGACGAGATGAACTGATAAAGAACTCAAGGAATCACGGCAACTTCACAGTGCTTGTAGTCCGCAATGCCGCAAGTTTACCGATGCCCGGAACACTGTCAGTCCAAAACGGTGCACTGTCATGCACTGTCTTGACTTGTACCGGAACTGTGTGTAGCAAAGAAGACGACCAGGTCGTGTGGTGGTGTGGTACTTGAACTACCGGTATGCGTACATACACGGTGCAAAAGTCGTCCTTCGGTTCGTGCACTTGCCATGTGAACACAATCAACACAATGATGAGAAAACAAGAGGGGTAAACACAATAACTTTATCAACGCTGTTGACTCACGCATACACACATACACACACACACACAAGATAACAATGATACTCAGTACCTAGACTGCAGGAGTTGCAAAGAAAGTTAAATCAATGCAGCCTCCGCGTTTGCGAGGACAGCAGACTGATCATTGACGCGGCGCATCCGCCGGGCACCACGAAGGCAGGCAACACTGGCACGCAGGAGACCAAAACCAAGACGACAACGCAGCAACGCCATCACCATTGCGTATGGCTCTCCGTATTTCTCAGCAGACAGAGCAGCAATTCGCTTGAGAAGAGCGGAAGCAGCTCGACCGGCTCCACCTGTGGCTGAGAATACGACAGGTACGAAGGAGGCTCGCTCAACTTCTTGCACCCTCTGACCATACCTGCGACGCTTCTCTCGCTCATGGCTCTGGCAGCGAGAGAAGAGGAACGGTTTGAAGGAGCGAAAGGGTTAAACACCCGTACATCAAGATAAACGCGTTCAAACCGTCCTCCCCACACGCCACTCGCCGCCACATCCAGACGGGCTTGATCCTCGGTGGACGCCGTCCGGTCGGTTCGTGCACTAGCACTGCACTCCAGATTTGACGCCGCGCGTACTTTTACAACGCCTTTTTATGCGTGTTTACCGGGACGCGAGATTTTTTTTTTTGGTCCAATCCTCAAGAAAGGTACGCGCGCGGTGACGAGAAACAATGAAAAAACTTGGTGTGGCCTTAACAAGTCAAGTCGTACTAACCTGAACAAGCTCCTTGACACGCGATTGGAAGACCAGCTCTGCCTCTTTTGCTATCTGCACAGGCAAACGCACAGGTAAGCAAAGAACAACACCAATGCAGCAATCAGTCAGGCATTCAGCCATCCCCTCCCCCCAAAAATCGAGAGAGGGAGAGGGAGGGGGAGAGAGAGGTCCTGGACAAGCATGTGGTGAACCTGATGTGACGTTTGCATGCCCCGATTACATAGAACTACAGGGTAAATTGCTTCAATGCGATAAATAGAACAATTGATGCCGATATAACACTATGCTACAATCATGAAATGAAAAATGTATAAAAAAAAGATTAATCGATGTTTTTTTCTTTCGATGGTCATCAGTGGACCTACATCGAATGGTGACTACCATGGTAACAAGGGAGTATGTCGGCATCAGGCAATTGTTCGATTTATCACATTGTTAAAACTCCTTTCTCCGAAACGCCTCTTTGTAAACGGTTCAATGGGGTTTAGAATCCTCAGGGCAGGACTGACCTTCTCCAGGAACTTGATTCTTGCCTTGAGTTCCGCGCGAGTTTGTGGAGTATCCTGGAAGAGTGGACACACACCATGAACGACATCAGCAACCACATTGACAATTTCTAGATGGCAAAACAAGCCAGATCCAAAACATGGCCGAGAAACTAGTATCGTGTCAGTACTGCGTTCACTATGAAGAATACGCGCAACAACAGCTCCGTCCCTACCAAATTAGATCAACTAGAGTAAAACTTGTAACTAAAGACCACCGTGACTAGCGACCAGCCTGGTACTACAGTAAAACCTGTAACTAGAGACCATCGTGACTGGCGACCAGCCTGGTACTAAAGATCGCTGGGCACGGACCGTCTCACACTCATATATGGTTGTGCGGTACAAACCTCTAACTAAGGACCACCTGTCACTAAAGACCGCTTTCTCTGGCCCCAAGGGGTGGTCGTTAGTCACAGGTTTAACTGTAACTTAGAAATAGAACACAGCACTAGTCTGTCGGGTGCAGGCGTACTGGGGGTCAAACTCATAGCCTAGACTGTTCTTATTTCTATGTACAGGAACTAGGGGTGAAACGAGTGCCAAAATCGGGGACTCGAGTACTCTTTGAAAAAACAAGTAAGTATTCGAGCGAGTACGAGTATTTTACTGACAACATAAACCAATGCACTGCACACACTCTCGCACCACCCAACGTAGTACACCCACTGCACATGTAGTCTTGCATGCAGCCTAGTGCAGGACATAGTCTGAACTACTGTCTTTTGCTGGTAAGTAGGGACAAGCAATAATTTCGTGCTTGCATGGACCATCAGTACCAGTCAGAGTAACAGAAATGCTTGATGTACATGCATACAATACACTGTGCATAGGACACTTCGAGTATTTTGCGAAACGAGTACTTGCTCGTTTCAAATTTTCCAGTTTCACCTATGTGCAGTGGACTCATGTACAGTGGAGTCACCACGTACCGTGTTATCTCTAATATAAGCACAGTCTCCAATAATAGCACGTCTCCAATAATAGAACACCTTGGGGCGGCATTCAAAAAATAAAGTGCTCAGTCTCCATTATAAGCACACTGTGTAAATTCATTATCTGTACCGGCGAAAAAACCCCTGAAATGTGTGTGTCTGACATGAATTTGGCATGGCAACATGCCTCTGAAATGAGATTGAAATAATAATGGAACAGTCTCCAATAAAGGAACGTCTCCAATAATAGCACGGGGCGGAGGTACATTGAAAAAATAAAGGACCGTGCTTATATTAGAGATAATACGGTATACAACAGCAGGGTTCATATGCCGTATACTGTACTTGCCGAACGTCTAGCCTGTACTTTCTTCGACCCCTGACAGTTCTCTACTCCATATTAGGTTTTACTGTCGTGGACATGGCAATCCGGTCGGAGGTCAAGCGGTCCCACGGCGCTGGCCATGCAGCTGTGAGCACGCATCGGATGAACACGTACACTGCATGCAATGTTCTGTACGCACTGAGGGTGCCGGTCCCGCGTGATTCGACCGGACTTCCATGTCCACGACAGTACTTCCCCACCAAGGTGCTGTAAAACATGTCATTTTAGGTGAATTAAATTTCGATGCCAGAGACCTGCCAGGTTTCAGGTGTAATGTAGAATTAGGTGACCAGTGTTCCTTTCACATACAGTGCATACTCTAGTGCCTTTCAGGTGTAATTTAACCCTTTACCTTCTGACCATAATTCCCAGGCATTTCCAAATGCGATATTTCTCACCTCATTCTGAGAATATCTTTGGTTCTAATCAACCCATTTTCACAATCGTGGGCATTCTGGAAAGCTCTCCACGAGCTGCGTACAATGAGCTCAAACTGGACACTACTGAGATCACATATCCAACGCCAGGGTGCTTCAAACACTCCCCATCGCTGGATATCCGAGAAAATTCTCTCCTCGTCAGCCATTTCTCACTCCTTCATCGTAAGCATTTCAAAATTTGTTTGCCTGAGTTTCTTTTTATGCTGCCCACGCGCTCAAAGCATGCGCAGGTGACTCAGCATATCAGGAGAGGGAAAATCCCCAGCTCAAGGCCAGTCACACAGAAAAAAATTGACTTTTGCCGTGGCTGAAATGTCGAGTGCGATATCTTTGGAATGCGACATCGCAGCTCTTCGCCGATTGTTGCAATGAAAAGCTGGGCTCTTCGGCTTCTTCATACATACTTAGTTTTTGAGATTCCGTCAGGAATTGATCGAGTTACGAATGTTTTAGTGCATGCATGTCCATCGACCAAATTCGGTCGATTCATGTACACACAGAAGGTAAAGGGTTAAATTTAGGTGCCTGGTTTCTCTACTGAAATCACCGAAATTAAAGTTACACCGAAAATTACATGTTTTACTGAACTGTATAAGCAGAAATGTTAGTCTGGAATTTAATTTCGTCTTTTTCGTCCACGGAGCTTTTGGACTAAATTAAATGCCGGACTAATGTCGATTTGTCCAGCTTTTCAATACACTCCTATGATAATGATCCATGGACGAAATTTACAGCCGGACGAACTCCCTTTCTTTGGAGTTGGACGAAATTATTGACCGACGGAATGTTCCTGTCTGTACTGTATTACTTTCTTTGTTTTTTGTTTGTTTGTTTTTTTTCTCTACAAAATCCACAGGATATGATCCAGTGTTTACTCTTGTGTACAGTCTTGTGATGGCGGCATAGCAGCATGAAACTCTGAGTGGAGACAGACTGATCGTTTGCACTGAACCCTGTGTGTAATTTTACCACCAAACTGCTTAGCACCGGCAACTCCAACATTATACTCACTCCGTTGTCCTTCTCCTTCCGTTGAGCAATGGCACGGCATCGTCTCCCAACCTGGACACAGACACACAGACACACATGCACGCAATAAGAAGCAGTGTTGGGAATTTATAGAAAAGAAAAAGGACCAAGGAACTACAAGTTACGCTATAATGTCCACTAACACTATAAATTTATCCTTGGCTCTCCAGCCGAGTCCAGTGCTGTGAAGAATAATAAAAATCATAAAAGAGGGTTTGACACCGCCAGATCACAAAGAAGCTGGCAATGCCCGGGTGGAAGAGTTGTGCTCCCACTCTCAGCAGTGCTCTAGTTACTCTCAAGCTTGCATGTAAAAAAAAATTGTAAAGGTAGTAGACTTTTTCAAGCGGTCATGCTTTCGTTACCCGCATCTGATCATCTTCCTCATGCTTGAAAAGCGATGCCATAGTCTCTACGTCGGGGTAACTACAAGCAAGTAGAGCCACCCTGATGAACAACAACCACGTGTAATTAACAACTCGTGAATGACGAACGACCAAATCTTCAGACCAAGCGACCACTTGAGTGCATACTTTCAACAACTCGCGAAAAACGACAATTTCCTCATGCGCAACCAAGGGTAGTTATTGGTAAGGTTGACTGTTCGCTGTACTTCTGAAGTACCGTAAAGTACCGCGAGAGCGCCCCGTCTCGCGAGAGCGCCCGTCTCGCGAGAGCGCCCCACCTTGATGTTACAGCCAGGAAAAGGAAAATCGTATGGCAGAGTGCAAACAAAGTTTGTACGGTGTGAGAGCCTTAGTAATAGGATACTAAGGTCACACTTGGCAGGTTTTTGCACGGAGCTCGCGAGCGCTTGAAGGTAAATGGAGTACGGATTGACTGCATGCCGTGTAATAATAATTATGCGTACCAGGTTCGTGTCGTATGACCTAGAGACAGGAGGCCACCTCCACAATACGCACAATACGATCACGAAAGGACAAGATGGTGAGGCGCTCTGGCGCTACTGGACAGTATATGTCTATACCAATGGGATGGTCTTGAAGCGCTTTTTGAGGTGGGTTCAAGTTGCTCACACGCCCCTGATTCAACCTACCTGAGCGGCGGTACGCTCCTTTCCCGTCTTCTTCGCGATGTAGGCCGAGATGAGAATGTTGCGGCCTGAGATCAACAATGCAGCGTTGTACAGCATGACGTACGGACACAAGAGCACAATTATGCGCGCCAGCACAGACACAATCAGAATAAAACAAGGCAACGCTAGCCAAATCAGACCGTTGCATCATAAAAATCGTCAAAAAATATAATCCAACCTTGGTAAAGATGTCACTAATCTCATAGTGACAACCATGGTAAAAACACAGCGTGAATATCACCATGGCAACAATAAGTTTAGCCAGCACTTCATAAACCAGCATAATTTTCAGTTACCAAAATGTCCTTTTCATGCACATTGCAGCAATAAATCAGATTTTCTAATCCAGAACCCTCCCCGATCCTGCCGAATTTCCGTAGCACAAATGGTGCGGATTATGAAGGGACCACCACCACTGTATCATTGTGCACTCACCAACTTTCTTTGTCTGGCCATCGTCAGTGGTAACGGAGACAAAACGCTGTCCGGTCGGGTAGAGGGCCTGCGCTTCTCGGAACGCCTCGTCCTCTTCAGGTGACCATGACGATGATGATGATGCTGCTGCAGTGGCTTTGACGGATGTGTTCTTACCTGTATCTGTATGGCAGGAACATGGAAGAGTATGCAGAGAGATGAATGACACAAGACAAGTCACACCACCGGTCTCTATAAATACATGACTATTGTACAAGTAGGCAGTCTCTCCGCGCAGGTTTAAACGCACAATGCTGCCTGGCGATTGTCGTTTGAGAGAACATGTGTGCGTGTGTGTGTGTGTGTGTGTGTTTGTGTGTGTGTGTGTATGTGTGTGTGTGTGTGTGTGTGTGTGTGTGTGTGTGTTTGTGTCTGTGTGCATGTGCCCGTATGTGCATGCCCGTGCCTGCCAAGGACGGACGTGACGAATCAAAACTTCCACACAACTGAGACGACACAGCAGCAAAACACCACCTCCGTGGACTCACCGGAGAATGGCTTGTGATCGGCCGCTGGCATAGTGTCCTCAGAAGGTGATATCATGTCGGATAAGGAGCCACTGCTTGCGCACGCTGGACTGGAGTCAAACAGCTCGGGAGTGTCGGAAATCGGCATGGGCGAGACCTTCGCCACCGGTGTTACACTGGCCGAGAGCGGCCTGCGAGGGGCGAGCGTCACGGAGGAGCAGAACGAGTGCGATGAACCTGCACCATCGTTGCCGGAGGTCGACACGGGGAGCGAAGCGGAAGTTGTTGCACTGTTCTGTGGCACGACGCAAGAGAACCCCTTGCTCTGGGAGTCGCCGGGGTAGGGTATTGACATGGCTGAGTTCAGCACGTTGCTATCGCCGAGAATGGACCGGGCCATGTTCGGAGCGGAGGCCTGTAAACCGGACGAGGCCGATGGCGACTGATCAACGACATTCTGAGACATAGCCTTGCGCGAGATGAGACGCTTCTTCTTCTTGCTGCAATCAAATATCATACACACACGTACATAGACACAGAAACACACACTTGCTATTGTACTTGCTCACTGCCATGACTGGTCACGCGAGTCTTTCCAGAAGAGGGGAGAGAGACACAGAAGGAATCTTGAAAAGATCATGAAGATGTCTCAATAAGCCCATTGCGTAATGACGTAATTTGTACCATCAATACCCCACACAGCCACCTGGGCAGGGTCATCTGGGGTGTTGAACAGTGCATTCCTGATCCCAGTGTACTCGCATGCATTACTCATACCTTCCATATTTGCCAATGCGCAATGGGCTTATTGGCTATCGAACCGCCCAAAGGCCGATACTCCCTGAAATCCCCAAACTCTGGGTGGACTTGCAAATGATCTCACTGACAAACACAGACACATGTACACACACAGAACGCCAATACACACCCGCACCCGAAGTGAAAGTCGACCGAGGTGCTCTGGAGCAGAGATGCACCACCCGATATCGTATCCACAAAGGCAGGACACCGGTATAGGCAAGCTCTCCCTCTCCGTCCCCGTACAAGCACAGGCAAACAGACAGACAGACAGGCAGGCAGACAGACACACAGGCACATACACATACACGACTCTGCACTCACATGCACACACACACGCAGGCAGACAGACAAACACATACACACACACACACATGCACAGACACGACTCTGCACTCACCGTTGCGGAGGTGCAGCTTCCTCAGTTAGCGACATGTCAGGTTCGGTCATTGCAGACTGAGAGGTCACTGACATGGAGGTACTGACATCCGCCAAGTCGTTCTCCCACACCAAGGCATCAACCGGGGGTCCGGCGGACTTACGCTTGTTTCTGCGCCGTCTTGGCTGCACTACCTCCTCGTCGTCCTGTTGCTCCGACGGGCCGGGAGGCGGCAGGGTTGGGAGAGCTAGCGGAACCTCGGTGCTGGCTTCAGTCGCTTGCAAACGCGCTTCCCTCAGTCTCTCCCCACCGACTGATCGTCGCTTGGCGTTGTGCCGTGATACTACCGATCTACGGCGCTTGCCGATGGCCTTCTTTTCCTTTTCCTCGAGCAGATTTTCTTTATCAGAGGAGTCTCTCTCCGGCGGCGACACTTGTGCAGATTTCGTTGCTGTGCTGCTAATCATTGAACGCTCTGCACAGCTTCCATCCGTGTTCTTGATAGTTACAGCAGCGGAGATGGCAGCAGTGCTCCGAGAGACGTCTGCACGATCGCCAGCACGGTTGCAGTGGCTGCCAGCGGTAGTGGGTTGGCGTCGTGCCGCTTGCTCTTGCGCTGCCTCTGCCGTCACCACTGCCGCTGTGGCTTGCACTCGGCCGTGACTGCGCTCGCATGTTGCCTTTGGTACATCCTCCCTGGTCAGGTCCACGGCATGGCTGGGCAGGGCTGGTCGCGGATGCAGCGTTGGCGATCGAGGAGACCTGCGAGTGGCATGAGCTGCCGACAGTGCAGGGCGTTGCTTGGCGGCCGTTACATGACTCGCAGTTGAACTATTTGAAACCACTGCTTGGAGGTCCTTCGGTCGGGATGCAGCAACGGCGTCAGATGGTTCTTTGATTCTCGGATGGCCAGATGCACTGGCAACATCGTTAGTTACTGTTGCTACGGTTGTGGTTGGTGGGCCGCGTCGACGGGAGTTAACCGTGTCTCGTCTGTTCACGTTCGACCGGGCCCGCGCAGACACCTTGCCACTACGAGCGGACGGCTGGACAGACGCCGACGGCGCAGCAGTGCGGCGGGGGTTACCGGGGGCAACAGCAGCACGCGGATGCCTCGCTGGCGGCTCGCTTTCAAAATCGTCGTCGTCATAGTCACGGAAACCAGTTCCCACACGCGCCTGCTCCAGCGACGGCATGGCTGGTGGTTTGTCGGAGCGGCTGGAGCAGGCGGTGGAGAGAGCGCTGGTGGTGTTGGCACACGATTGCCGGTAGCGTCGGCGCTGGCATACCACTGGCAAGAGAGGTGAGGCGGCCATTGCTGAAGGCTCGACGAGTTGAGAGAACGGTACAGAGTTCTGAGCAAGACGAGACAGGGAGAAGCAAATCAATACGATTGTACAGTCAGACCTCGCTTATCCGGCCCTCTTTTATCCGGATCCCTCGCCATCCGAAAGAAACTCGTTGGTTACCGATTTACAGCATATCTAGTGCATACATACAGTATGTGCGTTCGGTTATCCGGTTCCCTCGCCTATCCGGATTATTTTTGTTAAAGGGGAAGTTAAGGCAAAAATCAAAATTTCACCAGTTTTAGTCTTCGGGGTGCTGAGTCGAATGGTCTTGGTCCGAGAAAGCTGAGACGCTCCCTTCCTACTTGAATCCCAATCGAACTCGCGCACTTCCACCGAAACTGGGTGACTGCGCCCTACTAGATGGGGATTTGTATGCAAAATGTCACTAAAAGCGCCATTTCGTTCTTCTAAAAGCACGGATGACCGCGATTGGCCCATATGCTGTAGTCTTTTGGACGCTGAGTCGACTGGTTTTGGTCCGAAAAGGCTGCAATGCAGCGTTCCTCCTTTATTCCCAATCGAACATGGTTGAACAAGCGGTCACGTGCTCCTGGGTGCCCAAATCACCTGGTCACCACGCCAGCAGGCGACAACTTTCACACCAAGGTTCAACTCGAGTGACAGGACTGCACCCAAAAAAGGTCAAACAGGCTAGTAAGTTGTACCCTGCAGGCACGGTGACCAGGTGACTGGTGTACGCAGGAGCACGCGACCGCTTGTTCAACTATGTTCGATTGGAAATAAAGGAGGAACGCTGCATCGCAGCCTTTTCGGACCAAAACCAGTCGACTCAGCGTCCAAAAGACTACAACATATGGGCCAATCGCGGTCATCCGTGCTTTTAGAAGAACGAAATGGCGCTTTTAATGACATTTTGCATACAAATCCCCATCTAGTAGGGCGCAGTCACCCAGTTTCGGTGGAAGTGCGCGAGTTCGATTGGGATTCAAGTAGGAAGGGAGCGTCTCAGCTTTCTCGGACCAATACCATTCGACTCAGCACCCCGAAGACTACAACTGGTGAAATTTTAATTTTTGCCTTAACTTCCCCTTGCTAGCGAGGTCTGACTGTAGCCGAAACTCAAAAAGGAGACAAGAGGTCCAGTGCAGAAAACTAAATTATACAATTACCGTACATTACACATCTGTGCATTCTACAATACGAAAAACATCCGGATAGGCGGGAAACCGTTAAAAAAAGCTGTACTCCAGGACGATGATAATATCTATGCTGACCAATTATTCCCCAGTTGGCAAGGGAACCATAGAGAGATGACCTGTTAGGTGAGGTCTGACTGGAGATGCAAACCCTACTACTCTCGGTACGACTGCTCTTTCAAGACATGACATGTTCTTTGCTTATATCCACAGATACACACAGCCTGGTGACGCGAGGCCACTCGGCTTTTGACACAGTGTTGTCCCATGCGCTACACACACACACACATACACGCACACAGACACACACACACACACGCACGCACACACACACACACACACACACACACACACACACACACACACACACACAGAGTGTCCAACTAGTCAGTTTCCACCGACAAAGTCCTATGCGGAAAGCACTCTACTTTTAGGGTTCACGGCTTGCCACTAAAAGCACCCGTCACGTGCGCCTCCATTTTGGATTATGGACGCGCGCTACAGGCCGCGACAGCGCCTATCGAAGTAAAAAAATATCGACTCGAAGTCTAGCCGGAGAGCGCACTTTTTGAAATTTTCCTTGGCTTCAGTGGCTTCACTTCACTCGGGCTTTGCATTTTTCTGACTGACCTGGACTTGATGATGGCGGCGGTGGCGGTCTTGGCGAAAGATCCAGTTCCATCTGAGACACGCTGTCGTCTTTTCTTATCTGCTGAGGTTCTGGCAAAGCGCAGCTGCATCGAACCTGACTAGATGTAGCTGCACGCATCCTTTGTTTGCCCTGCAAATCTCGATCTGTTGCTCTTCTTGCTGTTTGGCCGCTGAAAATATTCTTCCTGTAAAGAGGCCGAAACTGAGCTAGGGCACGTCAAGATATGTAGGGTATACAAAGAAAAAGAAATGTCATGGTCGTTTCAGCAGCTCACGACAGCCAACACGCTCCATCGTCGGGATTGGAAGTATCCAGCACGGCTGTTCCGAGCGCTGCTGCTCTTGTTATTCTTCTTCTTCAGAAATTCTCCACACCTTGTCGGCCAAAGTACGCGCGCGCGTGCACGGAAAATAGATGCGCTGAGCCGTTTCTTGTTCGATTTTGACAAATAATGGCTTGTTGTTTTGCTCTCGACCTTGGCTATCCTTCTACCGTTCAGTATTTTACGGAAACGCAACGGCTCCCCCTGTTTTTTTAGCCGAACTTTGGCCAAAGTTACTGGAAAACCCGGAACTCGTTTGAAAAAATACGAACGGTGGAAGTCTTGGAACGTCTTTCGTGCGTGTGGATTCAAAAATTCAGGCAGTTTGAGCCAACCGTAATGAATCCCGTAGAGTTGAAAGTGAGTGATATTGATGGGAAAATGCGATTTGAGCACTGACGGATTGTGTGGGACAGTATATGCACGCGCCTGTCACGTGCATGATGTACCTGGCGACGCTAGCATGCCAATCTGTGAACCCTAACTTTCCCTGCCGCAAAGGAACATACAGTGAAGCATTAGCAGCGGTGCACACTTACGGCTGAGCGGTGTCGATCTACAACAAACGTGTGTCCAACCGAGACGGGCACATCAAGAGACGTGGACGGCTGCTGCTGCTGTTGTCCCGACGACACGAAATCGTCGTCGAAACCATCACCCTTGCTGGCGAAGTCTCCGTCAAAATCATCGACGGTCGTGGCAGCAGAGCTAGGCGCGAGGTCGGACGGTGCAGCACACGGCGAGTGAAGCGCTCGACGCTGCTGAAGCTGAACTGATGATGACGAGGCGGTGACGGCGGGGGCGTTGGCCGAGGAGGAGGAGGAGGAGGAGGAGGCAGCAGCAGCCACTGCAACACTGTCGGCAATCTGTTGAGCTACACTGCTGCTGGGATTCACAGGCTGACCAGTGGGGCCTTGCTGGGAAGCTAGATACGCTACCTGTACGCAATAGTGACACAAACAAACAAGACGAGACATCGCTAAATGAGTGCTAGAAATCTCTCGGTCTAAGAAGCAGACGCAAGTAAATGTATAAGTCTAGCCAAGCAGAATGAACAGCAATGTCAATTGTACATGAAACAAGCGAAATCTTACCCGGGCAAACCTGTTCCCGGGTGAGGCAGGTACGTTGGTTCCAGGTCTCAAAAGTTGCAAGAGGCATTTCCCCAACTTACACACACACGCGCGTGCGCGCGTGCACACATACACACATCCACACACACACACACACACACACACACATCCACGCACACACACATGCACACACACACATGCACATACACACACACACAACGGGCCTAGATCCCGGTGTCAAGGACAACACATCGGCATAGAGTACAAGCTGTACGCGACGCCACTACTCCTTACGGTCTCCGTGAGGCGGTTGATGACGTTCTGCATTTCCTTCTGGTCACGCATCACTTCCTCCCGCAGCAAGCTGTTCATACTGCGCACCTCGTCACTTAACAATGCCTTGGTGTGCCGCACAAACGGGCTGCGTGCGAAAAATACACCAGCGCATGTGCACACACACACCGACACACACACACACACACACGCACACACACACGCACACACACACGCACACACACGCACACACACATGCACACACACGCACAGAGTTGACGACGCCCCGACCAAAAGAAAAAAAGAAAAATCAATTCCAAAGCAACAAAGTTCTTCCTGTGGAGGAACAGAAATGCAAGGATTTTACAAACTTGCAGCTGTTCTTCCTACAGGCTACTAGAACTTAGAAGCAAGCCCCACTATGGGTGCTACGGGAATGTTCCGAATGAGGTCAGAGGCTCAGAATGAGGTCACGGAGGTTCAGAATGAGGTCATAGAGGCTCAGAAGGAGGTCATCATCTATGCTTATATGGATTGAAAGCCAGTGCTGGTCTTTGTATTGTGTTGCGGCAAGAGTACATGAAAACTAGAGTGTGCAGCTTCGATGGGTTGCTGTCACGGTGGATTTCCGTGATTACATCATTTTAGTGATGTAGTGCATACAGGCGGGATTCAAGCAGGTCTCTTTCTGCACAACTGCCGCTCAGTTGTACACACTGCGCCACTTCCCGCCTCAGATCTGCACCAAGTATGATGCAATCACGGAATTCCGCCGTGACAGACACCCTTAGTAGAAAAGCCCCCCCCATGTACTCTTGGTTGCGGCTAATAGCATAGGGGTTACCTTGGCAACACATCCAGTTTAGGCGCCACGGTGGGACCTGCATTAGCCTGGGTGCCGGGTGCGGACGCAGCCCCTCCACCGACCTGGGTAGACGCGTGACACGTGGACAAACAGAACGACAGACAGACATGCAGAGGGGGAAATAGTTGATGTCTTGCAAGTGAACACCCGGAATCCCCTGCGTATTCTCAAACCTACAAACAGTAAAGACAATGTTAGGTACGGGATGATGAGTGTCAGCTTTTGTGCGGTCATTGAAATTTTCCCGACTATAAGTCGCACTTGATAATAAGTCGCACACCCATTTTCAGGTTGGAGCCATAATGCTTTGAACTTTTGATATAAATATTCACTTCAGTGGTAAGTCATGCTCGATTGTAAGTCGCACCCCCCCCCCCCCCCCCTTTTGTGCCCTTGAATTTTTGTGTGAAAAGGTGCGACTTTATATTAATGGAAAAAAGGGAGTACTTGCTCGGCTTGACGTACCTGCTTCTCGTTGGACACCGGTTTGTTAATGATCTGCATGGACTTGGTGGCAAACTGCAGAGTGCTGACCGTGTCGACGAGATGAGACTCCTCCGGTGCAATGTTGGCAATGACTAGAGACTTGGCACTGCCTCCCAGAGAGTCCTAGATGTGCACAACACACGGGGATGAGACGTACCATGCAAGGATATGACACACGCAAGGCAGTGACGAGACCAGTTGGCAATGGCAACACGCAGTCAAATTCACAAGAGCACTCGGCATTGAGTCACATGATTCTCTAGCCGATACAATTAGGATCTTCATCCCAGTTAGCCGGATGGCATTGGATCATGGTGAAGTGAAGAAAACTGACTCGCACAGCCTCACTAGAACACATCTGTGTTACCTGCAGCAAACGTGTGAGCTTGCTGTCTCGATACGGTATGTGCAGGTTACCCTGTAGCCGGTCAATAGAACACAACCAGATCATGAACACACACACACACACACACACACACAGAGTTGTTAGTAACAGATCAATAGAATGCAACCGGATCATGAACACACACACACACACACACACACACAGTTGTTAGGAACAGATCAATAGAATGCAACCGGATCATAAACTATCATCCTCAAACAGCACAATGCTTGCCCAATAGAAGTCAGACAGTACACAAACAGAGCGAGAAGAATACCACAACAGAAATACATACATAAGCATGTCATGGCCAAGTATGATGACAAGCCGAGCAACAAAAGCCTTCCTTTGAGCCGCACACACATACACCCCCCCCCCCCCACACACACACACGCGCGCGCGCGCACGCAAAGACACACACACACCTTGCTTGACGTCAATGCATTGACAACTTGGCTGAGAGCAAACAAGGACGTGTTGATGGCACCACTTTCCTTCAGCCTATGCGTCAGTAGAAAGACAGAGCAGAGACAGAGCAGGTAGTAAGCACCACGATAAGGAGGCACTAATGACAGACACTGAGATACAATTCAGAAAGGGCCCAACATACTGTCGCGGACATGGAAATCCAGTCGATTGACCGGGTCCGGCGCCCTCAGCGCGTACAGAATGCTGCATGCAGTGCACAATCATGTTGATCCAAGGCGACCAGCAGCACATGGATGCGTGTACTGCTTATCCACGGCTGCATGGCCAGCGCTCTGGGGCCGCTACACGTGCGGCCGGATTTCCATGTCCACGACAGTGCTACACGCATTCCAAATAAATCCCTCCCCCCCCCCAATACATCCGGCACTCCCCCATCCATGCACACCCAGGCTCATCCATGCATCCCCCTCCCAAACTGGCCTGCACTCACCCAAGCATACCCCCACCACCACCACACACACACGTACTCACGTACACACACACACACGCATGCACACAACTTGTACTTGTTGCTCACTGCCAAAACTGGTCACGTGGGTCTCCCTGGAGAGGCGAGAGAGACTCAAAAGGAGTCTTGGAAAGATGACTCAATTGGCTATTGAACCGCCCAACGGCCGACACCCTCTGAAATCCCCAAAACTCTGGGTGGACTTGAAAATGATCCCACTTATGGGCTCACCATACCTCAGTAAGTGGGTGAGGACAAGGTGCAGAAAAAGGATTGACGGCATCAGAGTATCTGTCCTGGGATCCAACTGCAGTTACCCCTGCCCCCAGTGAAGGTAATACTTGCTACTAGTGTGGGTGGCTAAATCAGAGTGGATCTGATAAGCTTCACTAGCACCATTGATTACTAATACACAAGAGTTAATCTAGCCAGAAGCAGTGCATGATTAACAGGTATGTGTATGAACCCTGGAACCAACAAAGGTGGCAGGTACAACATTACACCTTCAAGCAGCCGAGCCCGTTGGCAACAGACCCAACACAATCAGACATAAGTGTACCCCCACACACACACACATGCAAACACACACACACACACACACACATACACACACACACACGCACACACACACATGCTCACACGTACCTGTCTCCAACGTTGCCGGCACGCTTGGCATTCTCAGAGCCGGCCAAGTCGATCAGATGCAGCTTTCCGGTCAGCTGACGATCTCCTTGCTGACGTTTCACCTGCAATACCGACACACAGACATCAGTCCAACATCCACGTTGAGCAAAGAAGATGATTATGGATCAATACATACGATTCTTCAGTGGCATGGTAGATCTGCAGTAGCATGCAGCATGCATTTACTGTAACAGCCCAGTGAGTGTACATGTATGCAGCGCAGGGCATAGTCATTGCATGTGGTCATTGCATGCAGTCCATGTACGGCACAGTTAGCATGGCACAGCATTGGCCGGATTTTTCGGCGCCGACTGTCGGACCAGGGGATGTTATTTCCAGTCAAATGACCCCGGATAAGGTGACCAGCTGAACACGGCGACCACATTTGGAAGGTCCCTCGCGCGGTCGGCGTGGACAGGTTTCCCCTGTACAGTACGCAAAAGGGAGAATGTGTGTTCTTCTGCAAACGTGTATGTCCAGTCCTACCTTGAGCAGCAGTATGGCATGACTACGACTGGATTCACTGTTCAGCTTGGTCGACGCTGTGGTCCTGAATACAGGAGAGAAAGCAAATAAATAGATGCAATATAATATGCTTGTGAAGCCCTGGTAAAGCATACACACAAAGCTTGAAAGAAGTAGCAGAAGGAAAAGACTTACAAGAGTGTGTGTGTGTGTTTCGGGAGAGAGAGAGAGAGAGAGAGAGAGAGAGAGAGAGAGAGAGAGAGAGAGAGAGAGAGAGAGAGAGAGAGAGAGAGAGAGAGAGAGAGAGAGAGAGAGATAGTGTGTGTGTGTGTGTGTGTGTGTGTGTGAGCGAGAGAGTGGTTGTGTGTGAGAGCTTGAGAAAGTGCGAAAGTGGGAGAGAGAGAGAGAGAGAGAGAGAGAGAGAGAGAGAGAGATGCACGCATGCGCGCACACACATACACACAAGTGGAGCAACAGAACATAACGAAAAACCCACCTCTTCTCACTTGCAGGCCCGAATGCAGCCTGGAATGCTTCGTAAGAAGTTAGCGGTACCTGTGTCCACTCACATACACACAGATTGAGAAACTAATGTTTGTTCTACTGTTTCCCATAACATTATCGAAAAAATCCAGGGAGAAGCCCCGAAATGATGTGGCACTTCTTTCAGACACATAGGCAGTAATAAAAGGTCGGCCCTAAGTCCAGAACATACGATATGCGCTGGATACATGCACATTGTTGGACACATGCGTGTGACTTCATCTTTTATCGAGAGTCTAGCCGTATAGTTAGACGGAAAGACAGAAATGCCGCTGTGAATCTGGTGAAGTAAAAACAAAAACTCGAAAGGTCAGCCAAGGAAAATACTATGTTGAAAGAACCCTGTATCCTGTGCACGTCAAACTGTTCAAAATCTGGTTTAGTTGGTGGACTCTCACTCACAACTTGCGCCCCACTGTTTTTCTTGTATCCATTTAAAAATAAAAAAACAAACAAACAAACAAACAAACAAACAAACTTGCCTCAGTCAGACCCGCCACGGAGATGTTGTACTGCCGGTCCTGACGAATGGGCAGGTCGTTGGGCTTCGCCGTTCGCGGCACCAGCAGGTCGAAGATCTTCTCGTTGTACACTTCGAGATACGACATGACGACCTGCACGCGTTCTCCCTGCCCACTGTGATACGCGGCCATGTTGAGGAGAGCGCGAACGCTGCGCGGTATCATGCCCTGGTCTGCGTCCGTTCCGAGCATCGTGTGTGTCTTTCCGGCACCCGTGTGTCCGTATGCAAAGACGGTGGCGTTGACCCCGCACAGCGGGTGCGTTACCAGACGAGACAGTTGCTCGCTGTACAGCGACTCGTGGTCCGTGCCCTCGTTGTACACCGCAGTGAAGCTATGGATGGCAACAACACAAACGATGACATCATGAGATAGAAATGATGACATCATGGGAGGAGAAGCAACATTTACTTACTGAACTTCACAGACCTAGTGATGTGCAGTGTAACGCCTCCCAGAAACCTTTGGCAAACTGCGGGTAACGACTTTTAAAAAGTTACGACGAATTCCAAGCGGACCTCTTTCTCTTTCTTATAATAATTGCAACGCAACACTTTTAGGTGTTTCCCCGTGCCTTGTCTGCAAATTGTAATGTGATCATGATCATTTTGCTTTTAGGTACAACCCAAACTAGAGTATATTGCTCCTCACAACAGCCCGACATTCCAGCATGAACTCAGTTCACGAACGACGTGCATCACCCCAGGCCATGGACTCATACAGTACTCTGTGCTGCTCAGGGTCATGGAGTGCAGCAGCAAACACCCACAACAAAACTGGGCACGGCTGTACAGTGCAGTCATGATCATTCGTGCAAGGGCGGGCATGTAGATCTACATACAATGGCAGAGAACCAAGCCTTTTCAGGGCCGGCGGAACCGGTCAGGCTGGTCCGGCCATGGCCGGACCACTTTCCCAGCTGGATGGTCCATGTGATTCGTGCAAAACCGGTGTAAAAAATCCAGAGGTACATGACTCGACTGTACTGCCGACGTGTGATGTGCTTCTAAGTAGCTCAGGACTCCGTGACCGGCACTGTATGGCTTTAATGATATGGATAAAAAAAGTTGTGTTTGTGTTCTTTTACCATAATTTTCTGCATTTTCTGGAGCCTTAAAAGATGCCCAAAATCGCTCTATTTCACGTAAATTTTAAATATTTCTCCCGGGGGAGGTCCCCCGCACCCCCTCCCCCTCAACAGTTGGCCGGACCACTCACAAACTCCTTCCTCCGGCCCTGCTTTTACTAGAAACACAAGCTAAGTCACACAGCCTCCCAGCCATACCTGTACGAACGTTGTTCCGTGCATCCTGCCCGAGCAATCGTGATTGCCTGTGGCTCGCAGCGTATGTCCAGCGTCGGAGACGAAGACACTTTCGGTCGCAGACGCACAATGGCCGACACGGATTCCTCCGGCATTCTGCCTCGAGAGTTCCGAAGAGATCAAAATAAATTCTATCTGGGTGAATCAATGTACATGACTAATTGTACTGTACTCGTTTGCGTTTCCTTCTGTCCTCCGCGAGCAAAAAATACTTCACCGACAGCGCGACAAGATCGGACAGGGTGTGAAATATTTTCAAGTTCAAGTGCAATGTACCTGATGTACAGAGTCGAGAGAGTTTTCACTTCGAAGTAAGACAGCATTCACTGCCCCTCACAACAAACAACAAACTCACTGATTTACTGAAGTGAAGGCCCAGCTCCAAGTCCAAGTCGAGGCAGCTGATCACGGCCAGATCGAGTGATCTTCGAAACTTTTTCAAAATTAGCGCCTGGATACTTCTCCCTCCCAACAATCTCCATAACAACATCACAAGTGCAGCGTAAAACCAAGAGTACATGAAAACATGTACTCTTGGTAAAACTTGCGGCCTTCCCGGCTTCGCGCTATGTTGTTTGAAAACAGCTGAAACGTAGAAGTTTCGAATCGAAGGAGACAGAGAAAGTCGTGACATCCGAACAAGTGCAAAGAGAAGTTGCTACAGTGTCGCGTTGAAAGTCTCAAGTTAGTAGTTGATAGTTGTTTGAAAGATAACCAGAAGTTGTAATCATGGCCGTGTGGTCTTCCTCTCTAGCCCATGGCCAGCGGCCCAACACGATCAGCATCCCTGCTTCAGTAGGTTCTAGCTCGTCCGAGGCTCCCGCGCACTCCTGGAAATCGCCGGAGGTCGTTGACGCTAGTGTGCCTCTTCTACCGTCGACATCTGCCGACGGGATGGCGCTGACATACGAACAGAGGGTGTGCAGAAAGCATTGGCATTGTTTGCACGTGGAACGGCAGAATCTTCTCCAGGCGTGTCGGTACGTGAGACAGTTCTTTCAATTATTTGATTTGTGCTCCAAATTTCCTGATATCAAGAGGTCAATTAAATTTGACATACATTTCAATGTAAACGCATTTCTTTGCCTCATAAACGCAGGATCACAGCACATAATTGCATCATGTTTTTCTTACGTCACGGACCGCCCCGTAGCCAGTACTATACCACTCTATCAGGCTGAGCACAGTAGAGTGCCGATTATCCGCACCCCTCGGGGACGCGGGGGCAGTCTCCAGGGTGTTCGGATGAGAAGTATGTTCGGCTAAGGGAGCGGGCACACATCCATCTAAACCATGCATATTCCCTCACACAGTAAAACCTGTCAAGGCGACCACTCGGATAAGGCGACCACCTGTCCCAGAAGACCACTGCAGCCAGGACCAAGGCATGCTATGTCCAGTCAAATAACCCTGGATAAGGAGACCACCTGGTTACAGAGACCACACTTTGAACGTCCCTTGAGCGGTGGTCGTCTTAGACAGGTTTCACTGTATTTTGATCATTTCTCATCCTCTTCGGCAGTGCCACCGGAATCAGAGACACTCCTGCTCCTCAAAATGACATCCTGGGGACACCATTTGACGCCAACCTGTTGCTAGACATCCTGTGCATCATATCATGTTCAATGAATGGTGCTATTGGGTGGAGAAATCAGTGAAAATTCATCTCTGTCCCTTGACTTCAGTGGAAACAGGCATTTCGGATAAGCGGCATTCTACTGTGCCATCAGTGTATTGATGACAGAGGCATGGATCATGCCGTTGTACCTAATAGCCCAGCCACCGCTCCGTAAGCTTTCAGTTCAGTTCACAAGCATGCTTGAACCACAGGGCGAACACACGAGACCATTGTCCTTACAGTCCATTCAGAACAAGATGAGCGCTGGCTTTTGGCGAGCTCCCGTATTTGGTGATTTTTCGTGTTTTTATCGTACCCGGTGCAGTGCCGCGAGTTTTGAAACTTGAAAAAGGGTCCACAAAAGGTACTTCAACAGGGGTTTGAACCGCACAACCGCCGAAAGCTAGGATATCATCTTTTCATGAATGGACTGTAGGACCCGAGATGGCGCGCATCTCGACCCTGCATCTGTACAGAGCATTTCAAAACTATAGACGCGTACGAGGTGAATTGCTATTTCTGGACATTGTACATTTCTGGACATTTCGAGTAAAATAATTTTTCGTCGCGTGTAGAGTCAAGTCAGTCAGGTTGATGAAGTTTTTTTCTTGTTGTAGTTGACAGCTGGTCTGTTGTAGTTTCTCCTCGTGTCGGTGCCTTGTTGATAGCCTTTTCTTGGGAGGCATTTCAACGAGTTTTGTGGTACTATGTCGCATGAGAATTTTGAATTTTGAGTAAAATAAGAAGTAATGGACGAATCGTTGGCTTCCCCATGTGCACTCCACTTCAGACGCTGTATAGTCTTGGACCTGTTGGCTGGAAGTGTGAAGAGGCCAACTGCAGTCCACCAATAGAAAAAATAACCAAAATGGTGCAGTATAGGATGCTTATTGACGCTATTTTACTTTCATGTCCAGAATTCCATACACTGAAATTTAGGCCAAAAAATTGGCCTATCGAAAACATCCTGCGATAAAGTCTCTGGGATCACAGCATGAGCAATTGTCATATATTTGGAAAGATGAAGGATTAGGCCATACAATAGATACAAAAAGATATGAAAAATGTAAAACACACAGCCAGTGGGCCTCTATTTTATTTTCATTTCCAGAAATTGCTATTCACCTCGTAGGGTTTTTGAAATATTTCAAATTTGGCTGGAACTTTTTGAGAATAGTTTTCGGAATATTGCTCAGGATCGCTCCACAATTACTCTCATATAGTTTCTAAAGAATTGGATAACAGACGCCCAATTTGGAAAAATTTATGCACAAAGTGATCACAGATTTTATGTGGTATAGATGCTGGCATAACGGTTTTTGCCTAGGTACATGTCTATAGTTTTGAAATGGACTGTAGGTTGAACTAGCGGTGCGTTCGGTTGGTACAACCTACAGTCCATTTCAAAACTATAGACATGTACCTAGGCAAAAACCGTTATGCCAGCATCTATACCACATAAAATCTGTGATCACTTTGTGCATAATTTTTTCCAAATTGGGCGTCTATTATCCAATCGTTTAGAAACTATATGAGAGTAATTGTGGAGCGGACCTGAGCAATATTCCGAAAACTATTCTCAAAAAGCTCCAGCCAAGTTTGAAATATTTCAAAAACCCTACGCGTCTATAGTTTTGAAATGGACTGTAGAACAGGATTCACCAGAACAGCGCGTTTTGGTTACCCTACATGTGTGTAGTTGGTGACATGTCTAGAACAACGTAGGCCTTCCGAGCATGAGGTTGCCGGTTCAATTCCAGGTTTGTGCATAGATAATGTCCAACCCCAGGAGACCGCGACTAAAAAGAACGGAGGACGTTCTCTGTGCAAGCACATACAGCTGCCATCAATACTGCAGTGCACATTGGTTGCGTGACCCATCATGGGATTGAGTAGCCGGGCTCGGGTTGGGGAGGCGAAGTGACGAGGGAGAGGAGCTGAACACGACCCTCTGGCTCAGTGTGTCGAGCTCATTGACACGTCGTAACTGTTAAACTTTCATGCTTTGAGCTGGTGTAAAAAAATGCTTTGTTGCTTATTAGACTTTTATTATTATCTTATTTGAGGATTTCCCTGATTGAAGGGAGTTCCATTATAATGGGAGACTGTAGGTTGGAGATGGCAAAGAGTGGATGGCTAATGAACAGCATAGTAAAAAAATACACAATATCTATGCTGAATGTTCTAGAATGGTCCTGTACTCTATATTACATAGAGTCTGGTTATTCCTTGAGATACAAAAATACAAAAACAGAAGCGCAAATTGTAATAATTGCAATCCGGAGGACGGGCTGAAGTGACATTGGATTACTTTATTAAACAATGTCAAGCAATGGAACGATGATAGAAACACAAATAAGAAAAAAATAAGTACGGAGCTCAAGGAAATTTCGAAAGGTGAACAGAGGCATGTCAATGTGTAGTGCTATTGTGTTTAGTGTAAGAGAAGTGAGTGCAAATGTGGCTGCGAAATACGGACTGCGAGGCTGTGGCTCTTTTGGTGGCAGAGAAATGCGTGCAAATGTGGCTGCGAAATAAGGACTGCGTGGCTGTGGCTCTTTCCACGGCCTGGTGGGTGTCGGGGAGCTGTGGGTGTAGCACTGGGTGCAGGTACCTCCATGAACACTTCCGACACACCAGGATAGGGCTCGATCACCGCTCCATCTGCTGGTGCCCCCGCCCGTGTGTCCACTGCTGATGTTTGGACAGTTACTTCTGCTGCTATGGCTGGTCGGTCTTTGTTGCCGTGGTTCTCCACCTCGCGTTCGCTTTGTGGGGGAGCTTGGGAGCCGTTTATGGCATCGGAATACGAGCGTACAGGCGGCTGTTGTACACATGCTTGCTCATTAAAATTTGGTGACGATTTTTCGTTGTCCCGTACTGTACGCTTTGGGCAGCGAGTAGCGAGGTGGTCTGGTGAGTCGCACAGTCTGCACGTCTTTGGCTGGTCAGTGTGCCGTACAGAGAACACGTGACCACCAGCTGTCCTGAGACATGACGGACTGCAGGATGCATGCCGGCCTAGCAAGGTGACAGCTTACAAAGCGTATACCGGTACACCTGGGATGTTGTTCACTGGTGCAGGGCGAGAACTTGACTCACCCGATCAGATTGCTTTGAGCAGCACCAAAAATGCGAAGATCAATAAAGGGGGAAGCTATGCGAACAAGAATCATGCAAAACCGAACGCCTCAGTAAAAGAACGCCAACGTCCTTCACAGCTGAGACTTTCAGCTCGTGCTTGTCTTGGTTGCGCTCACCTTCCCCTCTGTATAAACGTGTGTATGTTCGTTTTGAGGGAGGGTGGGGAGGGGTCCCGGGAGAAATGAACCAATATCGCCTTAAAAATATCCATATTTATTTAGAAACGAAAACTAGTCGTTTAGGAGGGCCTAGGGAGGGGGTTGAGCGCCTGTTCGTTTCTCGAAAAATATCGACGCACAGGTTGTACATGTATGTGTGGGCACGTCCAGAAAAAAAGAAAAAATATTGATTATATGTACCGTTTGTATTTGTTCGTTTCTCAGGGAGGGGGGTTGAAGAGAAACGACTAGTTTTCGTTTCTAAATAAATATCGGTATTTACGGATGGCCCCTATTAAAACAAGTGCACCATTACGAAATTGACTTCACCTGTTATACGTTATGTTCGATGTAGGGTTGCCGTAAAGGCCTTGGTGGATCGCGTGTGCTTTGCTGTAGTCGATGACGATAGCGTGGAGCTGGCCCAGTTCATAGCCGTGGCGGAGCGCATTCTCTTTCACGGATTTCACGGTGAGACTCGCGAGCCGCTTCCGGCCATGCATGTGCATGCGTCAGTGAGTGAGCGAGTGTGCTAACTAGCGAGTGAGCGAGTGTGCTACCTAGTTAGTCAGTGAGTGAGCGAACAAGTCTGCTAGTAAGTGTGTTAGTGAGCGAACGAGCAAGGAAGTGAGAGAGGGATGGAAAAGCGGAGGACAAACCCGTACGCAAATATTTGTCCGGCGGATAATCCTTTTAGAATTCAGCATTGCAAGTACGGGTAGGCGAACACAAGTGAATCTTGATTTTGGTATGAAAAGCACAGAACCTGTTTTCTTCACTCTTTCTCTGTTCGGGGAAAATGGTTGCACCAAATGGGATTTGCAGTAGTTGACTACTTTGGTTGTGGGTTTTGATGTCCTCACCTTCCACTACTTTATGAGCTTCATATGTGCCTTGGTCTTCGAGGGTGATGGCATTCCTACAGATGCGGAAGACTCAGTCTGACTCAGTCTCACACAAGCAGTGAATTGTTTTCTCTGTTGAAATTAATCAGCACCGAACTGTTGCGTGTGTGTGTGTGTGTGTGTGTGTGTGCTTGTGTATGGGTGTATGTTCTCGTTTCTTCATCCTATGTACAGGTCAGGAGTCTGGCAGTATCCTGTCTGCGGAGGAGCCTTGTCCCGAACTGTGGCCGGTGCTGAAGGCAGCTTTGCCGGCCACTGAACCGGTTGAGACTGTGGAGAATATGAGCGATGTACACACTGACTTGGGAAAAGTGAGCCATGCCTTATGTATCTCAATATTATGCGGATGCGGGTAGTGCCTTTGCTGTTTGTGTGCAGGGCCGGAGGCAGCTTCCGCGGAGTGGTGCGGCCGAAGGGCCATCTTTAAGGGGGGGGGGGGGTCCTCCCCCATAAAAATTTGGAATTTAGATGGCGAATCCTGCACTCTGGGCGACTCCCTGGTACAAAATCATACATCGAAACTTTTTCTCCCCGGTTTTGGACGTTCCATGTGGACCGACTTTTTGGGAAGTTTTTTTTTTTTTTTTTTTTTTTTTGGTACGGCCATGGCCGTACCGGCCGTACCAGTGGCGCCGGCCCTGGTGTGTGTGTGTGTGTATGTGTGTGCTTGTGCGCACACGTGTCTATTTCCCATCGCGTCTTGCCTGCGCTACCTGTGTGTCGTTTTCCTGCAGTGTCGCGCCTGGTTGCGTACCTGCCTTGTTCAGAAGTCCTTTGCGACACACTATCTACAGATGCTCAACAGTACACAACTTATCAGGTTAGCAACTCACCAGTGTAAATATAGTATACCTGTCCTAACCGGATCCCCTTTGTTTCACCGGTTCCCTCGCAAACCCACGCTTACATCAGAAACAAGCATTGGAGGCATGGATCTATTTCCAAGACTGTGCATGTATTACAAACATGTTCTCGAAAACTCCATTGAAGAATCCAACCCTATAGAACCAAGAACGGAGAGCTGGGGATGCACGTACCCGGCCCCGTACCGGACGCACAGCCAAGGAGGATGACACCGTAGCATGAACATAGCTGGACACACGAGGAAGCTGGATAACCGAAAACGCGGTGCAATCTACTCTTTTATTTTATTTCATTTTTTCTGTTTCTCAGTTCCTGCTACTCTACGTCGGCACTGCTGCGTCGTGAGGACGGACATCTGATATTCGGCTTTCTCCAAGCGCTGGACAGTGTAGATTTCTGGTGAGTAATGCAATGCTTGAGAACAGTGTTGCACATCATGAATTCATGGATGCCATTCAGTACGTACTGATGTTCGATTGGCAGTTGGCCGTCGTGTAAGCGCGGGGATGTATTTCCAAATGCAGCTAAGATCTTGAATTTGGTTGGACGCTTCCTGTAGTTTCAGTACCAATGGAGTTGATGGACAAACACAACCATAAGTAACGCTGTAATTCACACTGCTCTCATGAAATCTTCTCATCTTCAAAAGAAATCTTTATAGTCTGCTCAACGTATTGTAATGCTTCGGATCGATAATACTCTTCAGAACACAAGAAGAACAGAGAACTAGCTGGCGTATTACGTAATATTATGAAGATTGAGTGAGAGCAGCGTGAAATGCAGTGCGCACTGCATTGTTACTAGAAAAAAAGGTTGTCCATCCATGTCGATAAAGAGACCTGTCAGACTTTTCAATGATTGTTGTGCTGGCTGTACATTTTCAGGTTTTTTGGTGGGCTCATTTCGGTGTCTCTGTTTTTTTCTTCTGCATGACCGCCCGTAATCTCTCTCTCTCTCTCTCTCTCTCTCTCTCTCTCTCTCTCTCTCTCTCTCTCTCTCTCTCTCTCTCTCTCTTCTCTCTCTCTTTCTCTCTCTCTTTCTCTTTCTCTCTCAATCGCGCAGTCTATGTCTAAAGGACAACGTTGACCTGGATGTGAGCGTCCATTCTGTTGTCGACTACTCCTATTTCATTCAGTTCAGAGCGAGGTGAGTGAGTGGGTCTCAAGCTGTTGGAAAATCATTATAGCCGTGGGTGGCCAACGAGTTGGTCTTGCCCTGGCCTACTACAGGATTCACACACACACACACACACAGGTAAAACCATGGTTGCGGGAACGTTGCTATGGAAACCATGGTACTGGGGGAAAGGAAGAACCTCTCCGGAAAAAATTGGCGTGGCCGTGGGCCTCAGGGCGCTTGTCAAGGGAAAATAACATGGCTATAAGATGTGCATGCGTAGATGTTATCTTTGGCGAGAGCTCTATTGGTAATCTGGCTGATGAGGGCGAGTGGTGGGAGTGGTGCTCAAACGGTGCTCAAACGGTGCTCAAACGGTGCTCAGTATCTATATAGATAAGGTATGCTCACACAGTGGACAGACGGCGCGTATTGTGTTCTCTCTTTGCAGTGCTATTGGTAATCTGGCAGACGAGGGAGAGTGGTGGGATGCGCTCGAGGCCGACTCGCTGCCGAACGTTCCGCGCGACTCGCAGTCTGCCCTCGCCAACTCCGTGGTGGTGGCTGCAATGTCGAAAGGCACCTCGACGGTGTCCTCTGCATCAGCGTGCGCTGATAGGCCGGACGAGACACTGCCGAACCCAGATGCTGTGTTTAGCAGCTCTCCGCGTGCCACATCTATGACCGAAGGTGAATCCACGGCAGCCCAGACAACGGCGGAGACAGCCAGCTTGAACCCCGGACTCTCCGCAGGTACATGTATGGTCTTTTGCTATGTGTACACTGCACACTGGTCGCCACTCACTATACATGTATGTCTACAGCGGATATGCGCATAGCATCATGGTGTATGTGTGAATGACATCATGGTGTATGTGTGAATGACATCATGGTGTATGTGTGAATGACATCATGGTGTATGTGTGAATGGCATCATGGTGTATGTGTGAATGACATCATGGTGCATGTGTGAATGATATCATGGTGTATGTGTGAATGACAACATGGTGTACATGTATGAATGACATCATGGTGCATGTGTGAATGACATTGTTGTACATGTTTGAATGGCAATCATGGTGTACATGTATGCTTGAATGACATCATGGTGTACCGTACTCGCGCGATTAGTGCCCCTGGGGCACTATTTTTTCAATGTCCATCACAGATGGGGCAGTATTCAAGAGAGGGCACTATTTTTCATTGCTGGTACATTTGCGTCATCCAGCATAAAACAAAGAAAAACAGAGCCTAAAGTGTGCTGTAAACGCTCACGACTCCACAGAAACGGGAACAAGACCTGCGATTTTGTTCCTGAAAACACCAGTGCAAAGCAATGGCCAAGAACATTAGCAAAAGAACACCAAACTTGCACATGGGCTTGGTTACAAGACCGGGGGGGGGGGGGGGGGGGGGGGGGGCACTATTCAAGAGAGGGCTTTATTTTTCACTTGCTCTTGGAGACTAGGGCACTATTCGAGATAGGGCACTATTCAAGAGAGGGCTCTAATCGCGCGAGTACGGTATGTGCGAATGACATCATGGCGTGTGTATGAATGACATCATTGTACATGTTTGAATGGGCATCATGGTGTACATGTGTGTTTGAATGGCATTGTGGTGTATGTTTGAATGACATCATGGTGGTGTTTGAATGGCATCGTGGTGGTGTTTCAGGGGCGTGCTCGGCTCCCCTTCCAGGGGGGTGCACCACTTCCAGACAACAACAATTTTCAAAAGGTTGTACCGGTGACAACATCATATATTTGCACATGTGACGTCATTATTACTGTTACAAAGATTGTATGTCATCAAGAATGAACACAGTACAGCATTATCAATTTTTTCAAAATAAAGGATGAAAACTTTACAAATGTTTAAAAACCAATCCGTCGACGGCACTGTGCCTTCCCTTCCGTTCTCTTTCCTTTCAAGCGCTGACGTTTGTGTGCCACTGTGGTCGCATCCTTTCGCGATGTCGTGCAATCTGGTATGACACTTGACAGGCTGTACGTACGGGACTGCCTGGCTGCATGTAGGCCGCGCACCAGGCCCCTGCTACACTACAACTTACTAGTACAATGCACAAGACACAGGTGCAGGATGTGCTCCCGCGAGGTCGGGCTTTCCGCAATACATTGGTGACTTTTCAAAGCCCTGGTCGAAATATTTTGGGGGGTGCACTTGCCCCCTGTGCCCCTCGCCAAGCACGCCCCTGTGTTTGAATGGCATCGTGGTGTATGTTTGAATGCCATCGTGGTGGTGTTTGAATGGCATCATGGTGTATGTTTGAATGACATCATGGTACAGTATTATGTTTTAGTGACATCATAAGGTATGTTTGAATGTCATCATCGTCAAGTAGAACCCTTCTTTTTCCGGACCTCCCAAATGGTGAACCTCCGTGAACCGGGAAACCTTTTGAAACTTCTTTTCTCGCTCTCTCTCTCTCTCGCTCTCTCTCTCTCTCTCTCTCTCTCTCTCTCTCTCTCTCTCTCTTCACCTCTAGGAGAAGAGCAGGTGGATGGCCAGCCCACAGTCACCACGCCAAATGCCAGTGTGGGCAGCACGACTGCCGCAAGTTCACTTAGCGCCGACGAAGGCGCAGCAAGTCGACATGCAGACCAAGCGGCGGCGGATTCAACGAAGCGCAGTGGCTCGCATCCAGTGTCGTCAAGCTCCGGTCTGAACATTGCGAGTGCAGGGGAGTCTACCACCGGGACAGACCACGTTGGCATGGCCGACTTCATCCGGCTGCAACATCACGTCAGTCGTGAGAGAGAACAGAGAGTAAGTCGCATGCCGGTGATTTGCAGCCGGACCAAAGCCTGAACTGGAAACTTGAAAGCATGGATATTTTTGCCAACCTCTCTCTTCTTGTTGAGCATAAGCAACTAAATTGTTAGAGTTAGGTTTGTGCAGAATCCAAACGATGCACCCGTTCTGAAAATGTTTGTGCGTGTGTGCGTGTGTACATGCATGTGTGCGTGCGTGCGTGTGTGTGTGTGTGCCACTTGCCTTTTTGCAGAATTATTGCGAAGAGCTGGTGAAGCAACGTGCGAGGCAGCTGTCGGAGGCAGCGCATGAGAAGGAGGCGCTGTTGCATCGCATTTCCGCAGTTCAGGAACAGGGGCACAAAGAGCTAGACCAACTCGAGGCCATCATACTGGAGTTGCATGAGCAAGTGTAAGTATTTGTATTTTTCTATTGTATTTCTATTTTTTACTTGGGCTGTGCAAACCCAGGTCTCATTGTAGCTGGTCCCCCTTTAGTGGTGTGCACGGCTGCATATGTTTACATGTGTATGTAGGGTGGCTGGCTGACACATGTCATTCATGGTCATTATTTTCTAGGGGTGAAAGTTGGCATTGATATCCCGAGTTCGAGTACTCTGATTTTCTCCGATCGAATATTCGAGTATTCGAGTATTCTTCATCTCCTAAAAATTGCACACCAAGGGCCTTAAAATCACATGATACAACCCTGATTGAACCGAGTAGCAGTCATTATTCTCGGGTATATTGGACCTATTGGTTGGTGGGTCATTTGGGCTCTCTCTACTCATAAACAGATGTTCACCACACAGTCTGCACATCAATATCTGCCGACGGCTGCTCTGAAACTGCAGATTTCTGTGGTAAATGCATGTACCATGTATGAACGAGTACTCTGATTTATTCCGAGTACGATTATTTTTGAAAAAACCGAGCGAGTACTCGAGTATTCGGTATAATTGTTTCACCCCTATTATTTTCCCATCATGAACCTAGGCCGCACTCTTTAGGGGGGGGGGGGGGTGCATGTGCCCCCCCCCCCCCCCCCCCCCCCCATGTGGCCTACACGCCTGCCAGCATAGCCAATTCCCACTGTTGTTATCCTTCTACTGCTTGTCGCTGTTTTGCCAACTGCAGAGCCGACCTGACACTGGAGAATCGCCGACTTACGCAGGAGCTCACGGCTGCCTCCACGCCCTCCGACGGCATCTTCTCCGGTTTCTTTTCCCGGTGACCGTTCCGTGTCGATTGCCGGGCGTACCGGTTACGTTACGCCTTGTGCCCGCTGAATTCGTCCAGAATAACACCGAGTCGCTTCAACCGTGGTCATGCATGTAGCCTTGCACTGCATTCTAGACGTCCAGGCTTCATCTCAAGATTGTGTTTGAGCTGGCAGCCCAGAGCTATTGTGGGTCTTGCCAACATCCCCGCTGCCAATTAGAAGCATCCCCGCCGCCAATTCGAAGCATCCCCGCCGCCGATTCGAAGCATCCCCGCCGCCGATTCAAAGCCGGTAGCTATGCTGTTCCAATGGGTGTCGGTGGCTCACAGGATCTTCTCCTGGTCTAGACCATTGTGTGAAGAGTGCTGAGTTTTACACAAATCAATCAACCATCACCAGTAAAGGGAAAGAGAAAAGATAGTTAGTGTTCTTCGGGCTGGCACGAATTCTCCCTTTTTGCCTGAAGAGATCTCGTATTATTTGTACCCCCCGTGTACGACCGTACCTCACCTTGTCAGTCTGAGGAAGCTGGGAGCGGGCGGTGTGGAGGACGTGCAACCGCCCATTCAAACATGCTCTCTCCTATGTACTTTGTACTCTGGGCGATGTAGAGGACATGCAACTGCCCATTCAGACATGCTATTCTATGTGCATTGTACTCTGGGCTATGTAAAGGACGTGCAACCGCCCTTTCGGACATGCTCTCTCCTATGTGCATTGTACCCTGGGTGGTGTGGAGGACATGCAACTGCCCATTCAGACGTGCTCTCCTATATGCATCGTACTCTGGGCCGCACGGCTCCAGCCTGCTGTGTTACGCAGTCTCGGCCACGCTTGCCCACCAGCAGGACTACACAAGCGTGCCGCGTCTACGTCCTGTGGGTGCCCTGTTGCCGTGGTTACGGTTACCACGGCAGTGGCGAAGCTCCTCGAGAGACGGCGCGCTGTGAGTCGGTGTAGTGTGCGCGCCGGCTCCAGCCAAGCTGTATGAACCACACCGCTGCCCCGCCGCTCACGTACAAGTATTTCGAAAGAAAAAAAAGGTTCGTCCAGCTACTTCGTTGTTCCAACCAACTCGTGAAAAGCTGCATCAACTCTTAGGCTGTAGTCGTCGAAGGTGTCTATCCCCGACCGAAAGCTACCCAAGTTAAAGCCGCACAATCTAGTGTTCGTGTGCTGCCGCTGTGTGGCGTGCCTGCTCGCAATTTTTACAGGATTCAATATTCCCTGCCAGTAGTCAGTATTTACGACTCGCTCTCAGACGGTCTATTTCAATTGTTTATCAGACGTTTACAATCTCACCTGCCTGTACAACTCCGCATGCACAGACAGTCGGCGTGCATGCAAATGCCCTTTGCTTGTTCTCTTTCTCTGTGTCTCTGTGTCTCTCTCTCTTTCTCTCTCTCTCTATCTTTCTCTCTCTCTCTCTCTCTCTCTCTCTCTCTCTCTTTCTCTCTCTCTCTCTCTCTCTCTCTCTCTCTCTCTCTCCCTCTCTGTCTGTATTTCTCTGTCTGTCTCTCTCTCTCTCTCTCTCTCTCTCTCTCTCTCTCTCTCTCTCTCTCTCTCTCTCTCTCTCTCTCTCTCTCTCTCTCTCTCTCTCTCTCTCTCTCTTCTGCTGTTCGCATTGCACATACTGTGTGTTCCACAAAAATGGCTCCAGTTGATGGCCAGTCTCGCTGGATCTGCTACTGTAAGTCAGCAAATATTCCCCGCATATTTATTTTCAGCTATTCTCAGCCTGGTTATGTTTGGCCGAAAATGTGTTGCAGCCGAAACTTTGTTTTGCAGGGTTCAGTGTGACAGTGTAGCATACATGCGGCAGCAGTACGAGTACAGGCCGAAAATTTGATGCGGCCGAAATGGGTTTAGCCCTGGGAGGCCGAAATTTAAATGCGCCGAAAATTTGTCGACTCACAGTATAAAGATCGGTACTGTAAATAAGGAATATGTCACAAACAGAACATTAATTTTCATGTTTTAAAACTCTGGGGGGGTTATTCGGGGTTATCGATGTAAAAATAAAAAAATGAAAATGAAATATAGATACGAGTTGAGAGTAACTCTCCATCACTGAAGAAATGTTTAGTGTTTCTCAGACCCCGCCCACCAACCAACCCATTTGCAGGCAGAAAATGAATATTGATTACAAATTTCTACACCCAGTAATACATGTACCTGCACTCAGGAGTCCATAATCACCCAGATTATGGACTCTTGAGTGCACTGTATAGGGTTTGAACGTTCTGACATCTGAAGTCAACAAAATACGACATGTGTCCGCTCTGTGCCTGAGGCAGAGAGAGAGAGAGAGAGAGAGAGAGAGAGAGAGAGAGAGAGAGAGAGAGAGAGAGAGAGAGAGAGAGAGAGAGAGAGAGAGGGGCAGACAGACAGACACACGCAAATACACAAATGGACGGATCGTAAAAGAAGGAGAGCAATAATTAATTATTATTATGAAGCGAGGAAAAATAAAAACAAGAAAGACGACCAAGCGTGAAAAGAACCGTGAAGTGTGTTGAAGCAGCAACATGATAGGGCGATCAAACGTTTTGCAACGATAAGAAGGATACTGTCAGCCCTAAAACTAGTTGCACATTCCACAGCGGCGCAGATGGTGCAATGATTGCCAATGTTATAAACAATTGGGCAAAATATTCGACTCACGAAAATAAAAAACAATTTGCTTCCTTTTAAAAAAGAAAGCATGGAGACACCTATCATTATTTTAATGCAGGGTGCGGGCAAGTCCGAGTGAACAGCAGTCTGCGTGTCATTGGCCTTCACCTTCTACTCGCACTATACGTACTAGGTAGCTGTATCGTACGTGTCATAATGTCCGTCATCATCAGAGGCATGCTGCGAGGCGGAGTTTTTCTTCCGCGCGTTCTTATCATTGCCAGGGCTTAGGCCTTGCCATCCGCTCTGCTGGCGATCCCCGTCTAATCCTTGCACGTCGTCATACAGCTCCTCGCTGACAGATGTCATGGAATGGATGGTGCTAGCAGAGGCGTGGCGCCCGATCTCGTCGTGTCCTTTCGCACCACCACTGCATTCCAGCGCCGCGTTGAATTCTTGCTCGTTTTCGAAGAAGGTGCTGATCAGGGCAGGTCCCTCAAGGGGCGAGCTGCCGCCGATCTCCGGCACTTCGGTGTAGACATTGGCAGGTCGCGTCTTCTTTTCATCTTGTGCATTGCTATCAGTAGCAGTGCTAGATGCCTTCGGGTCTCTTAGTTTCGACATCCAAGAAGAGAACTTATCATCATTACCTGTACAGGATGAGCAGAGAGACGATAAATCGGGTCAAAGATTAGGTAAAACACGCACATGTACATGTAAGCGACGTGGAGACAGTAATTGAATGATAGCAATGAACAATATTGCATGTACAACTGCTTACACACGACACAGAGCATCACGCATCATCTGTTGCAACTAATAGTTTCATGCGCATACTGATAGGCATAGGTCATCAGAGAACTACAGTAACCATGGTGATAGCCTATGGGCATGAAACTATTACAATGCAACCTCGTTAGGAAGAACACTGATAAGACAAATGTTTGCCTAAGAAGAACTAGTATTCGTAACTGTATTGGATAAAACCCGGTGTATTCACTGGGCAAAACACATGGATAAGAAGAACTCCCGTTATTGCGAACAAATATCATCGGTCCCTTGATGTTCGTCCTAAAGAGGTTTGACTGTAGTTGCAACAGATGATGCGTGGTGCTCGGTGTCGTGTGTAAGATAGCTCTATTCGAATTACTTCGTAATGATGAGAACTCTACCGAGTACAACTGTTTACCAGAATCTACAGTCCAAGCAGCAGAATCAGCAGTGTTGATACTCCACCGTCCGGACACTGGATCAGCACAACCGACCCGCTTCTCGAATTCCTTGCAGAGAGTAGCGACAAGAGTGAATAGCAACTAAATAGAGCGGTTGTCAGTTGACAAACCCCCTTTTATTTACCGTGTGCAGTTGCGTGATGTCCACCACTTACATCACGCTTTCTCTCTTTGGACCTCCACCTTGCAATGGGCAAAATATTGGCAAAGTTATTTATTTATCTATTTGGTGCAGCTGAGAGCCTGTTGCCGGAATGGCGGTATTTTCAAGTGATAGCTATAGTACATAATATTATTATAATTTTATGCAGATCGATAAAAGATGGAGAGGAAGAAAGTGAGAAAGGAAGTGATAGAAGCCAACAGATACATTCATAATGTCCCTGGTTCGAATCCTGGTGGTGACAATCAATTTTTTCTTCAGAAATTTGCCGTTTGTATCTTTCCCTCAAACCAGTGAATATATTCATGCCGAAAGCTAGGTCAGTGCCTTACCAGCGGCAGATGTAGGAACGTATGGTGGCAACTTTTCCGATTTGTTGCGGCTCACAAATACTGCCACGCAAACGATGAGGATGACGGCAGCACCGCCTACGCCTCCTGCTATTAGAGTTGTAGAATTGGATTTCTTGACTGGGGTCTTGTCTGGTCGAGGTGAGGATATGACAAAGAGAAACAGAGGACAGTGTCGTCAGGCAATGTTATCGCATGAGCTGATTGTTTAGTAACTGGTAGTCCAGTAGTGGACATTATAGCCTAACTTGTAGTTCCTTGGTCCTTTCTCTTTTTTATAAATTTATCCTTGGCTCTCCATCCGAGTCCATTCTAGGAACAGAGGACAAAATCATTACACTGTAAATATACAAATTTTCGGCAGCTATTTAATTTCGGCTATATTTGGCACCGACCCAAAATGCCTAAATTAAAACGCCGATAAAAATTTTCACAGCATCTGTCGCACTATGCCATGCCCTCTACCCCACGCCGAGAATAAATCGCCGCCGAAAAGTCAAAATCCGTGAGGTGCCGAAATTTTGCAGCGCCGAAATTTTGTATAATTATTTACAGTACTTAGAAGTAGGATACATTTCAGGCTCCTGAACATTTTGAAAGTTTCACTAGTATACTTCCATGCCTTATCATCATGTAGAGGAGATTATAGTAAAAAGGAAAGGAACATATCGATACAAGTTAATAGTAACTGTCCGCCACTGTGACTAGGCACTAGATACAGTCAGAAAGTGCAACAAATAGGCACAAACTGACAGAGTACTGAGCCACTCGACGACCTGACACCTAGCTCCAATACATCTCCAAAGGCGGACAGTGACTCTTAACTTGTATCCGTACGTCCCTTTCCTTTTGAATTGTAGTACGTGTATTGGCTAAACGCCAGAGTATCAAAATAAGAGAATATACTTTACGGCAATGATGTGTGTGTTAAAGTAGGAACGCCATTCACTGGAAACTAGTAGGTGAAGAGGCGCACGGGGGGAGTGGATATGTCAACAATAACTGGGAAATCCATAGGACAGAGGCCATGGGGGCTCGTAATTTGCCTTCCAGTGTTACTGCAAAACATGCACTCCATTACCAGTTCCTGGCGAATAGGGTAAAGGAATAAGAAAATTAACAGTTCTTTTGAGACCCGGCTGGAGTCGGAGCTTTCCACATCCTCAGGAACAGCACCACACTCAAGGATCAAGGCGCAGCTCCTAAAGCGGTGGGAGGTGAGTTGGTCAGACCCACCACGAAGTGGTCAAAGACCGAAAATCCCATTCGCTGCATCCATGCTTCCCTCGTGTTCCAGCAGCATGGCTGCGAAAAATCCTCCAGCTTCTAATCAGGACTCGAACCTGGTGCCATCTGTTTCTCAATCATGGTCTTAGACCATCCCACTATGCCTGCCTGTTTAAGGTTAAGTTTAAGGTATAATCGTATTGCACAAGCAGCTTGTGTATTCACGATGGTGCTACAGGTACTTGATACAGGATGATTCGGGGGCCATTCACACGGTACTCTTAACCCATTAAAGGCCAACGTATGACGGTGGATGGAGAAGGTAGGGAATTAGCGCTTACTTGAAGTCAACATGAGCCCCGCCTTTGACGCAGATGTGTCTGTTCCTGTCCTGCCTGAATCTACACAGTGCACACAGGCATTACACCTCATGCTCACGGACTATTCTAAAAACTTGCAGACTCCATTGCAGCCATCTGCACTGCAGGGTACCTCAAATCAAACACTCAAAGTATGGGTATTTTTGCTGCATGCGTCATTTGAATTGTTCAAAAACATTTCCCGGATGGCCAAAAAAAAACAGGGCAAAACAGAAACGGACTCTCATACGAACTTAGACTCGTTGAAACAACCAACTTCGGACTCTCAAAATAAAAATAATCATTACACCTTGCTGGATCACCTCGAAAATTGTTTGTCTCCAAAATCAGTCGTTTACAGCAGTTTATCATTATGCTACCAGTACCAGTGCATTTTCGCCAGTAGCACGGAAGTGCAGATAGAACAAAGACTTGGATAAAAGGAAGGACAACATTCTTGCGAGTTACGACTAACAGATATACCTAGTTACTGTGACTACGAAGTACTATGCACCAATGTAACCAGGTCCACTGTATCAAGAACATTCATTGGGTTTTTGTAATCATTGCTGTCTGATGATCGCCACAGGCGTGAAACTCTGAGTCACAGCCAACCCAAGCTCCGTATCCCATTCTATTCTTTTTTGTACGAAGCTCTGCACCCCGGTGCATTGAGCACTCTTTCGAGGACCACACCCAACTTTCCGTGTGTAACCAGATCCTATACAGTCAGCTAGTTTGACAACATGGCACACCACTGACAAGGAGTACTGAGACATTCAACGGCCTGACACTTGGCACCGACACATCTACAAGCCACAAGCCACAAACCAACAACCTTCTAACTTAGAAGGCTCGGGTTTGTAAAGATCCATCCAAAGAAGGGAAATCCTTTCCCTCTTTGGACCTCCACCTTGCGCGACTAAAGAATTTCTGATAGTGCAAGGACTACCTACTTGAAGTCCTATTGTTTTCTGCTCTTGTCATCCCAGGAACTGCGGTTTGCACAAAGGAAAAATATAGGAGTTAATTATGCAATAAAGGAGCACAAGAAAGTTTAACAACAGGTATACAGTGACAGATTCATTCATGTGTCATAAAAGTTTTACCGAGAGACACCACACAGTCTTTCTCTCTCTCTCTCTTTTCTCTCTCACTCTCTCTCCATTCCACTCTCCTTCTCTCTGTTCCTCTGTTCCCCTGTCTCTGTCGCTGTCTGTGTGTCTGTGTGTCTCGGTCTGTCTGTCTCTCTCTTTCTCACTCTCTATCTGTGTCTGTCTGTCTCCCTGTCTGTCTCTCTCTGTCTCTGTCTCTCCCTTAAAATCTCTAGCGTTCTCTCCCTGTACTTCTCTCTCACACGTTTACCTTCTCTAGCACTAAATTTCTATTCTCTCCCCATGGTCGGTGATGAGCGCCTTGATCCCGATACCATTGATCAGGGGAGCACACTTCACTTCACCTGCACAGCTTCTATACTATAGTACCTACAAACCGTTTGCTGTCCACTGTGTTCTTTTGTTGTGGTTTCTCCCCCATTTATTAATGTAGCACTTTTTTAATCAAAAACAAAAGAGTTAGAGAGCTAATTGGATACTCACTCGAAGTCGGTGTCGTAGTTGACTCTGTTTGTGTTTGTGCCTTCCTAAGAACTGCGAAGTGCACACAGGACAAAGAAGAATTAAAGTAATCAAGCCATACGATTACACAAGAATGTCTGCAACACAAAGGAAGTTATGTAAAAACACTTCAGCAAGCACATAGAGGGAAACTTCAGGACATGAATTGGACGTGGTGAATTCACAATATTAGAATGCACTTGAGTATTTTGACAAACTTGTTCAACAGTGCTGATGCACTTGGCAGGGAAAACAGGCTAGCGCCCATCCTAATCTATCCCTGCATCGATGCGTCACATTCCTAGCAGGCATGTAAGACTAAATTTAGCCACATAATTATAAGATAACGTGAAATCTCTCTAGTTGAAGAAGGACACGTGATGTGCTTGACAGTACGATGGTAGGCAGCAACTTTCGGCCTGTTCGTCAATGAACTAGTTCCAATCGATGTGCACAAAGAGCTGCTTGCTTTGGGCTTCGGTGCCAGGGCTTGAAATCAGATTCATTGCATAGAAGTGTAGAAAGCAGAGACGAAACCTAACGCATGCTGTTGGCTTTATTCAATAACGTGAAACTCCAAAAAAGGTCTACACGTATAAGAATGATCCCACTGTCAGGGATTTGTGCTCGGTTCCTTACAGAAAATACATATATAGCTAGCCATGGTGCCAGTTCCAGGTGAATTGTATTCAATACGCTCAGTTGCCAGGTTCATTCTGGCCTCCTTCCGGTGATCTCGGTACTTGATCCACATCACACCCGATCCTTCATCCAATACGGTTCTTGTTACTTTCTGGGTGGGATGAAGAAGGAGAGCAGATTCAGAAAAAGCAGGGTATTATTTTTTAGTTCCAGGCGAGGATCTGCCGAGTGGCCACACCAGCCCATCATGCAAATATGGAATGTTGGAATATCCATGTGAACAAGCGAGCCCGCGAGGTTTCGGAGTGTGCTATTCATCAAAGAGAATATTCGGTGCAGCCCATGAGAAAAGGGTTCTTCGCAGCACTTGACAAAGGGAGAAACATGAATTTTAATTAAATTAGAACTTGCGAACGATTTTGGCTTAAGAGTCAGAGGGGCTAGTTACTACAAGGGCATGATAATTATCTCAACACCAAATTTCGAATCTTGATCATGAAAAATGCCCCAGACTCGATAAAACGCGAACCGAACTACTCGAACAAAACAAGACGTGTTCACACTGAAAACTCCATTAATAATATTAATGGAGTTTTCAGTGTAAACACGTCTTGTTTTGTTGGAGTAGTTCTGTTCGCGTTTTATCGAATCTGGGGTGTTTTTCATAATCGGGATTCCAAATAACGAGGGAGCTTTGAAGCTCAGGGCCCTACGCTATGCTTTTTTGCCTTGATGACCTAGACAAAAAAAAAGCGTAGGGATGTTATAAATTCTTATAAGTTTTTACTTTTTGTTTTTAGACATAACCTGGGATTCGAACCCGCACTATCGCCCTGCATGCATCCCCCGATACACTTCGCATACATACTAATTCTTCCAAGTTGCTTCACGTTATGATCTTGTATTTGAAAGCCCTATTTGAATATGCATTGTGGCCAGCCGTCTTTGAATGTACGGTACGGTACGGGACAGGTACGGGACATGTACGGGACAGGTACGGACGAGGGTAATACGACACCGTCTACCGCCTTGATGACTGCTAAAAAAGAAAAGGGATGTTATAAATTTTTCAATTCTCCTATTTTTTTCAGGCATTACCTGGGATTCGAACCCACGCTATCGCCACACATGCATTCTCCCATACACTTCGCATCCATACTCATTCTTCCAAGTTGCTTCACGTTATGATCTTGCGTTTGAAAGCCCTATTTGAAGATTGCGGCCAGCTGTATGTGCAGGCCAGCTGTGTTTGATGGTACGGTACGGTACGGGACAGATACGGGATAGCGCCAGGCATGACACAAATACACAAACACCAAATTAAAGCTGTGTGAACCCTGGCTAGCGCCAGACGTTACTGAAGTAACGTCTTCTGCATAGCTACGGGAATAAATTATTTATTTTTACCTTGTAACACGTGCTATTGGTCAGTTGCTCGTGTTGTGTAAATCGTATCAGCTTCAGGCCACCCAGCCTGCAGTCCTTGTTCGCATCTCCAAAGGTGGCAGGAAACCGTCGCAAGTGTAGTTCAAACCCGCCACACTCTACGCCAACACCAAAGCTAGTTTCTGCAGAGGGGAACACCAATACGAAGTGCAGGTAACTTACATCTTGGGCATCCGCCAAACTAACATAAGCATCACCCATGGCCTTCGGGGAACCTCAGCTCAATTCAGTGATAGATAAAAAAAGACGACACAAATATGACTTTGAGAGTAATAAGTACCCAGGGGATGTAAATATCATCTCATACATCCTCAAACAACACCTATCGGATAACTAATGAACACCCATCGACTTTGATGAGCCTCACTCCTACTCAGTGGTAGCTTACACATGGCATTGAAATGCTTGTTAGAGTCGCCAACTTATGAAGATTTCTATCTGTGAACTCATTTAGCTGCCCTGAATTCCTCTATCACGGCATCGGCCATTTACAGGAACAAATCCTCGACATGAACACCATAGCATTACCACAGCACAATCATCGTAATCAGCATTCGTAGAATCGATCATGTTCTTATCAAGGAAATATCTACTTTTTTATTTTTTATGAATGTGCACATGCCTACATAGAATGGAAGAGAACAACAACAAAAACAACAACAACAACAACAACCACAACAACAACAACAACAACAACAACAACAACAACAACAACCACAACAACAACACACGCTTTAAAGTTAAACATATACTCTTCGCGCATTCTCTGCGCCACAATTATGCCCCACCACATATACTCTCTCGCTGCATACTGCTAGCAACGTGCAACCTTCGTATAATTTACGTCGCTCTCGTACTTGGCACTGACCGCTGTCTCCATTCTCCCCTGTACAAGGAAGGCCCTTCATTACTTTAATTGCCTGCCCAACAAGCTTCGCGAAATCCCTTCTCGTACTCCCTTCAAATCCGAGATATCCCTGCTGTTGCACAACTCTGTATGCTCGTGTAGCGACCACCCCTGCCCGTACACTTAAGTACGCAACTCTGTATGCTCGTGTGGCGACCACCCCTGCCCGTACACTTAAGTAGTCATTAACTCCTAGGCCCTGCCCACCCAATTTTTCCTCACTCTTTCTCCTTTCTTACACTATTATGTCTTATTGGCCACTGGCTATCGTGAGAATAAAGATTTGAAACAACAACAACAACAACAACCACAACAACAACAACGACAACAACAACAACGACAACAACAAAATTCAAAAAAACAACAACAACATCAAGAGCACATGGGGGACTACAAAGGGCGTGTAGGTGCTATTGAGCTGTGCCTCGGATGGGGAATACAGCTGAGCTTGTGGTTTGATAAGGACTGTTGGTCACTTAGGCTGCGTTCGTTTTAGCTATACCTGGTAGAGTAGAGTAGAGTAGAGTAACTCTACTGATAGAGGTAGACAGTAGAGGTAAGTGCACGAACGCTGTTCTACCGGATTTAGTAGTTTTCACGACATGCAAGTGAAATGTTTCTCTCCTGTATGGAGTTGTGCACAACTCCTTGATCTTGCTGGAAATCCCGTACCTCTACTACTTCGAAGTAACTTCTACCGGCTTCTACCAACTTTTTCCTGGTAGAACCGGTAGAGGAAAGTAGAATCTAGCCGTTTGAATAGAAAAAACGAACACTTCTACGGAAAGAAGAAGCTTCAACCCAAACCTGTAGATCAACCCAAACCTGTAGATCAAAAACGAACACTTCTACGGAAAGAAGAAGCTTCAACCCAAACCTGTAGATCAAAAACGAACACTTCTACGGAAAGAAGAAGCTTCAACCCAAACCTGTAGATCAAAAACGAACACTTCTACGGAAAGAAGAAGCTTCAACCCAAACCTGTAGATCAAAAACGAACACTTCTACGGAAAGAAGAAGCTTCAACCCAAACCTGTAGATCAAAAACGAACGCCCCCTTACCTTTACAGATTGGTGGGTAAGTACTCCATGTTCCGTTAGCCAGACATTGGGATGTATTTGATCCATGGAGCAGTGAACCATCTGAGCATGCCCAGGTAACCACATCCGTGTACTGGTAGAGTTGACCTGCGTACCGTTCTAACTGCTCTGAATTCCTGAAGGAGCCGCGCGCTGGTGCATTAGGGGCACGACATGATTGTGCTGAAACACAATAGGAGACGAACATTCAAGGTGACAGCACCACCAACATGCAACGGATGTGTGCTTATAACCTTGCACCAATATACAGGTGTGCTCAGTGAAATGCGATGCAGAGTGCATATGTGGCGGCCTCAACTAACGTTACATGTACAGCAAAACCTCGTTAAAAAGAACACTCATAAAACAAACTTTTGCTTACCGGTAAGACAAACTAGTATTCATAACTCTATTGGATAAATCACTGTGTATCCACTAGGTACAGGTCGTCCCCCGTTAATACGAGTCCGGTTAGTACATAAACCCCGTTAGTACATAAGAAATCTCAAGTCCAGGACGAAACGTGGTCACTTCCATACAAATTTTGTCGGTTAGTACATAATTCGTTAGTACATAAACCCCGTTAGTACATAACATTTCTCCGTACCCGCATGTCACCTACCTCAATAGTACATAATTTGTTGGTCTTTTGGCCTTCCAGTGGAGGCACGTCGTGTTCTAGTTTCTACTTGTGGACACAATCAGCTCAGAAATCAGAGCGCACATCACAAACCGACAAAGCTCTGTTTTTTTTCGAGTGACTGTACAGGCGCGGCTGGGCATGTAATGTATCATGTAGAATCTTCGCTGACTGTGACCGTTATAACATAATTTTTATGTTATATCGAGGGAATCAAGAATATCTCGCTCCCTAGTCATGGCAGCAGGAAACACTCAGAAAAGTTGAAAAAAGTGAAAAATTCTGGTATACAAGCAAGTTATGTACACTTTCGTTTAGTACATAAACCCCGTTAATACATAACATTTGTCAAGTCCCAGAGATTATGTATTAACGAGGGACGACCTGTATAAGGTATGGATAAGAAGAGCTCCCGTTATTGCGAACAAATCCCGTCGGTCCCTTGATGTTCGTCCTAAAGAGATTTGACTGTACCTGCTAAGTCCTTGACGCCCCGGATGCGGCACGAATGCACACAGGTACAGATGCAATGACGGAAGCAAAACTGGTCCAGGGCGCCAGCTTTGCACTTTGGGTGGGATTTCACCGAGCGCGACTGTACGGGTAATATCCCTGAAGGTCAATGGAGACATGCCCTTGTGTTTGATCAGGAATTTAAAATTAACTTCACCATTGCATCATAGAACCAAAAAGCTTTCTTTCCAAACCCCTAAATGACACAGATCTGTACCTCAATCTATGAGCATTTGGGGAGTCCATTGCACATTAGCGAGAATTTCGCTATTAGTAATTTTATAATCTCTTCCAAATAGAAAGAGAGCTGAATGACTGAATTAATTAATGATGCATTTGAAGCTTACGTGCGCATGTTGGAGCAGCAGACGACCACTTATCCTGGCCGGTACACGTAGCTTTTGGCGAGCCGATAAGATTGAAACCCTCATCGCAGGTGAAGTTGACATGGCTGTTGTAGCTGAGGCCCTGGATGTTCTTACTGCCATTTCGGGGTGTGGCAGGATCTTTACAAGTGATAGCTGTGCGTTGCAAAGCAAAAACACAACAGAGTAAAGTATTAGAAGCGGTGAGGCCTCCTGCAGTTTCATACAGAATTACAGATGGAGCGGACTCGCTCCCTTCTATTTACACTGCAACGTTAGAACACATTTTCGTAGTTAAAACAACGTTTCGGCATAATATTATAGCCCTCATCAGGTTTGCAATGATGTGCACTCTACAAAGGAGCAGCAAATATACTGTGCTGTGCTGTGTTTGCACCAAATGTGTCAGCTACAAAGGTGGCGAAAGGGATTGGTGATATATTAATATCCAGATACGATATATTCACAGTAGTGCCCAGCCAGCATTAGTGTTTACTTGCGGCCGCAAGTTGCGGATTTCAACAGCTTCTCGCAGTTTTCTGCTTGCTCTGTCGCCTGCCCTTGCCAGGACTGACACAGCCGAGAACACACTATCCGCAGCAGCTATACTCTCGCCAGAATGTTTGTCGCTCACGTGGTCACCCCATGGCTTATTGAGAGTGCGACGGCGTGCCTCGCCATTGTGCTCCCGAATACTTGTTTCCAAGGAGCGTTCCGTCTCCCCTACATACGTTTCCCGGCACCATTTGCATTGCAATTCGTAGACTACATTCTTTGTCATACATACTCGTTCGCCTCCAGACTGACAGGTAATGCAAGGCCCTAGTGGACGTCCTCTTCGTCTTTTTTCAGTAATGTTGGGCTCGTTTACGCACTTGGGTGGTAACAGCGCCGAACGGCACAGTTGACGCCTGAGGCTGCCCGAGTGCTCGTATACGACACGTACCGGCAACTTGTATTTCCGTATTGCTTTGTTCACATGGTGGTGTACTTCATCGGACTTGAACGGTAGTTTAAGGAAGGCAGAGCGGGGATTACCGCGTCGTCTACGCCGAGGTTTCCTGGCAGCTTCCCTTGCTTCCGATATGATACTGTCTGGGTAGTTATTTATGCGCAGTTGTTTGTGTATTTTTTGTTCGCTCTCGGCTTGCATCATGGGGTTAGACGATAGTCGCTGTGCCCTTAGGAATTGAGATTGAGCGACGGCTAACTTGATGTGGTGAGGAACCGCCGATGAATAATCCACCAGTAGGCCACTACTGCATGCCTTCTGGAACAATTTGAATGACAGCTCTCCGGTTTGCCCAACCGCGATCGTTACGTCCATGTAGTCTATGCAGCCACTGTCACAACTTAATTCATGCGTGAATTTGATACGTTCGTGGCTGGCGTTGAATCTTTCTATGAGCTCCAGAAGGCGCTGCCTACCATGTGTCCATAGGATGATGATATCGTCGATGTATCGTCTGAACAGAATAGGTTGGAAGGGTGAGTCCTGAAGAAGTCGTGTCTCAATGGTGTGCATAAACAGGATGGCAAATGGAGGTGCCAGGTTGTTCCCCATAGCAACCCCATCTAGCTGGTGGTAGATCTGTCTGCCAAATCTGAAGTAGTTATGACTCAGAACAAACTTCAGTAGTGTCCTGACTTGGGTCACGCTCAGCCCGAGCATATCAACTCTGTTATAGTGTTGCTCTAGCACGTCACTAACGGCATTCACGCCCTCTTCGATCGGTATGCTGGGATACAAACCCACCACATCCATCGTAGCCAGAATCGTTCCAGCAGGTGCTTTAAGGCCAGGGTATGTGGTGCGGATATTGTCTAGCGCGTCTTTGGTGTTGATGAGGTGCGATGGGACAAATGCCAGCAGTTGATGCAATATGCGTTCGAGAACCACCGAAATTCCTGTGACTGGACTGTCACAAGCAGAGACAACAGGTCGGAGGGGCAAATTTTGCTTGTGGTCCTTTGGAAGACCGTATAGTTCCGGGAATCGTGTGTCATGAGGGAGTATTGCAGTCAGAAGATCAGGACCCATATTCGTGCATTGCTCTTCCAGTATGGATTTAACCTCTTTCTCATACGCAGTGATAGTTAGATCCACTTTTCTGTACATAGTGCTGTCAGACAGAAGTGCCTCTGCCTTCTCCAGGTAGAGTTCCTGTTTCATAGCTACTAGCTTCTTGCTCTTGTCCGATTGCTTTATCACTACACTGGGGTCATGACGAAGTTCTCTCAGTCCGTCGCGTTCCTCTTGCGTCATATTATGCTTGGGAGGTCTTTGTTTGCCATATGCTGCCAAAACTTCGTCCTTGAAGTTGGCCATCTTTCTTTCCCCATCCTGGCTCATTCTGGGCGGTTGCTTGAAGCCATGCTTCTTTAGCTTCCACAGCCTGCGATCACACTCGGTACCGGTATCGTGGTCGTCCTCTGGCTGGTCCACACCCTGAGGCCGCGCCTGCTGCCATCTCAAAGTGTAGGCCATCCGTTCTACGGAGGTGACCACTTCTGATTTCTCACGACTGGTTAACTTGCCCGTGGACGGTACAAAACCGGGTCCCAGTCTAATGCTGGCTGGGCACTACTGTGAATATATCGTATCTGGATATTAATATATCACCAATCCCTTTCGCTACCTTTGTAGCTGACACATTTGGCGCAAACACAGCACAGCACAGTATATTTGCTGCTCCTTTGTAGAGTGCACATCATTGCAAACCTGATGAGGGCTATATGCCGAAACGTTGTTTTAACTACGAAAATGTGTTCGAACGTTGCAGTGTAAATAGAAGGGAGCGAGTCCGCTCCATCTGTAATTCAGAGTAAAGTATGTATGAAGTAGTGGGAAAAAAAATTAAAATCCAGATCGGGTGCACGAATCTAGACCTCTCCTGGACCGGGAAAATATTTCATTGAGGAGGGGAAGTATGATACGATTCTCTGCAGGGATGAATTTACTGTCATATTTTTGTATAGCAGTTTCTGCTATACAAAATCACAATTCTGTAGCACTCTTTGATTTTGATTAGCATTTTTCTTTGAAGGTTGGGTGTTTACCACATTGTCCTTCTTGAGAGTGATGCCTGAAGGCCCATTTGCAAAAAAACCGACTGAATCATGCATGTGCACGCAGATTGAGTGCCTGCACCACATACACTGCACTGTATGCATGCTACTTGACACTAAGCGCAGGCTAGGCATGGACAGTCTGTATGTATCGCAGTTTTCTGCGAGTCATGGTGACTTTTGAGTAGCAGTAGATCGATTTTGCATCGCAAACTGCGATGCGATGCAGGATAAATAATCATCCCTGCTCTGCAAAGACTGTAGCACTAGATAGTAAGCCCTGGAACTAGGATTTCCATGCCACTTACTTTGGCAGCTCATACTTCACCATTACAACAAGAATATTATTCTCACTGTCACAGTCTGATACTATCAGCAGCGAGAGTTCCCAGATTGCCTAGAGTGCTCAACATCACAAGGTTGGAGAAATGCCACAAAGGTACGACTAGAGCAGTGACACGCGGATAGATCTCCGATGTAACGCTGCGTTTCATGCACATAGCCAAGCTACGGCAATCCTTGAGAGAACTGTTAAACTCTTCCCCTCCCCTCCCCTCCCCTCTGGTACAGTATTTTGTCAACAAGTCACAAGAAACAAACCTGTACAGCTGGGAGGCGCTGTAAACCCTGACGGATGTTGGCAGGTGCGATTATAGTCCTTGTTAAAGACCGCGTATCCATGATTGCACAGTACGACGTATTGCTTATATTTGTACTTGTATACGTGTCCTGCAGAGGATACGATATGAATTTCTCTGTGGGAGGAGCCTAAGCCCCGCGGTTGTCCATTGTGTATAGCGGGCAAAGGGCAAAAGGCTGTAGAAAAGAAGAGAAGACCGAGTGGCGTGCGTAAGCACTTTCGTACCAACTGAACACCCAGTTGAAACTTCATAGCAAACAAAATATAGAATTATTCCAGCACGCACGCATAACAGTTACATGTACACAGTTCGTGTTGTCACCCTTCTTCCAGTGCTTTTCCCGTCTCCGTTGGGACACAATGACCCATGCCGCGCCTACTGTTGCACCAGAGCCAGTTTTGTGCTTCTTGAGTACTGCACTTGTATGCCATCAGCAGGAAACAAACACGCACAACAGAGCTATTGATCGTAGGTTCGGCGAGCTGATGTCTGTTCGCCTCTTCACAGCGGTGTCTTAGCGCCGGCTCACAGCATTATTTTGTTTGTCTCTTATCATGACTGTGAAGTAAAGGAAGTTGGTTGTTCCAACTAGGAACACACGCTTCTTGCCGAACTTGACACTTGACTGACTCACGACTGCCATCCGGAGCACACGAGGAGCACGTCGCACCTTCCACTCGGCAAACACTCGGCAAACCTAGTTGGAACAATCAACTTCATGACTATTACCGCCGACGTCGCAACTTCTAAGTTTTTGAAGTAAATGTTATAGAAAGTAATCATGACATTTGGGCCGTGTAACCAACATGGTCGGCATAATAGAGAGGTTTCGCATTACGTAAAGTTGCTTTCACTGCCGCGTTCGGAGTTGCCAAGGGCAACTACATGATTTGAATAGAAGCCTTGCATTCACATCGGCTTCTGAAGGAATATTTTATAAGAACGGCTTTTATACGCGACATTACGAGGGAGTGGTGCTTTCTTTCAGGTTTGCCGAGCGGAAGGTGCGACGTGCTCCTGGTGTGCTCCGGATGGCAGTCGTGAGTCAGTCAAGTGTCAAGTTCGGCAAGAAGCGTGTGCTCCTCGTTGGAGCAACCAACTTCATTACGGTACTAGTATAATAATGACACACACATGACAGATAATGACTCCACACATGACAGATAATGATTCCACAGATAGGCATGGCAAGTGACTTCACCTACATGTTGCCATAATTGTGGTTTAACATAACTCAAGAATACACACATCTTCATGTGGCTGATGGACGTTCTAGCGGCTCAAACGGTGAAAAATCGTGCACCAACACGCTCATAATCCTTCCTTCCCCAACTGTTGGAGTCAGGTGCATGACACTGAATATTACCAAAACGATCTAGCTATTCTCTTCTGCCTTTGCAGTATGATACTGTGTCTGGTTTGGTACTCATTATTTTACTTCACAAAGTGAACAGGATAATTATTATTGTTATTATTATTTCACAATCACGATGACATAGTGCCAATAAGCATGTGATGCGGGCGATTTTAACCAACCATGGTGGGGACAACTGAGAAAAAGAAGGAGAAGAAAAAGAGAAAACAAAACAAAACAAAAGGAGTACTATAGGAACCTGGAGAGAGCAGTATGAAGATTAGGCTAGCAATGGAAAACAACGAATTCAATTCAATTCAACTTAGGCGCGGGCAGAATGGAACAAAATGCAGCGAAGGTATCACGAGACTTTACCTCCTGCGGAAGCCGAGACCAATGAGAATAGGACTTGAACAGAGGGGATTTTAAAAGGATCGATGACCTGGCAAGTGGGAAATGGAGAGAACATCTAGTACGCGAGCTATTATTGAACCAGCTTAAATACGCAAGTGCATGAGGAGGAGCAAGTTGAAGCTTAATACGGTGAATGAATTTGCATGCCGAGTGGGGAAAGCGTTCTGAGAGAGGGGAAGAGGAAGCCAAAATGTATAGCGTCTGAGAGGAGGTCAGAGGGGGCATGCGAAATATTAATCGAAGTAATTTACGGTGGGTGACTTCTAACCGATGCATAAGAGCGGAGGATAGACCGGAGGACCAAACGAGAGAGCAGTAATCAAACAAAGGAAGAACATAAGAGTGATAAATTTGTATTCGACAACCATGGTGTAGATGGGAGATGTGAGGAGAAATGCAGCCTATCGCGGAGCAAACTCGCTTTTCAATATAGGTTACGTGCGAATCCCAGGACAAGTGTTCATCAAGAAATATACCAAGGTGTTTGTGATTTTTAACAATGTTGATAGCAATGGGATCATCAGGGAAAGTAAAAAGCCGAGTCGTAAGGAGGGTGAGGTCACTGGAGGGTCGTGGGGGGATACAAAGGATTGCCGTTTTCGACACATTGGGGCGGAGTTTCCACTTCGACATCCAGCGCACAACTTGATTAATGTGATACTGTAGCGAGTCGCAGGCTTGCAATAAGCCTGGCTCGGTTATATGGAGCGCTGTATCGTCCGCGTAGAGTGAGGTATGATCCAAACCTGCCAAATCACTAACGTATACGATGAACAATAGAGGCCCCAAGATAGAGCCCTGGGGCACTCCAGAGTGGACTGTTAGAGGGGCGGACAGGGCATGTCCAATTCGGACACTCTGTCGACGTTCAGTGAGATAGCTGGTGAGCCACTGCAGACACGTCCCGGCTACGCCAAACGCTGCTAACTTATGGAGGAGACCCCTTGTCCAGACAGTGTCAAATGCTTTGCTGAGGTCGAAAAAACATAGGAGGCTAAATTGCTTCTGATCCTTGCATTCATATAGCTTCTGCACAAGCCTCAGCAACTGCCAGGCGGTCGAATCGCCTCGCCGAAATCCAGACTGTGACGGGTCAAGGACCGGGTTCACATGTTGGTATAAGTGGCCAAATGCCACACGTTCACAGAGCTTTGAAATGGTGGAAAGGAGTGAAATCGGCCGGTAATTGGATGCAGACAGTTTACTGCCTTTATTCTTGTAAATAGGCACAACCACAGCTGCCTTCCAGACATCAGGGAAGATTCCGGTGGCGAAGGACTGGTTGAAAACTAGGCTGAGAGGGATAGCTATACTAGGAGACAGGGCTTTTAGCAGTTCATGGGATATGCCATCTGCACCTGCCGCCTTCTTGGGCTTTAGGCGACGGATGTGTTGGGCAATGGCGGTGGGAGTAGTGCTAAAAGAGGGTAGTGCTGGGAGCCCGTGGTGTGGAATACCAGGGAGAGACCATGCAGGATCATCCGGTGTTCCAAAGCTGATGAATTGGCGATTCAGAGCATTGGCAATCTGGGTAGGGTCGTTGTGTACTGTGTTATTTTCATGGAGTTCAGTGATGATAGGGTTTCCAACAGGGGTCGGCGAACGAAGCTGCTTAACAAACTTGAACAAACTAGGGGTGGATGCAATAATGGATGAGGGGTTAGTGCTAATGGAGGACACATACTGGCGGTGAGCCTCTCTAGATAGGATTCGTGCTCTGTTACGTTCGCACTTGTAATGCTCGTGATTGCTAGGGGTAGGATACTTGCGATACAAGCTGTACGAGTCTCGCTTCCTCTTCAGCTGAGCTTTAACAGCACGTGTCAGCCACGGGGGACTTGGTGTACGTCGTCTAGGGGCTGAAGAGCGTGACCGGGTGGGTAGGAAAGCGGAGCATAGACCATGAAGGATGTCATAAAATGCTGGAGCAGTACGGTTTGGATCTCCAAGCTTCAACTGGAGAGCAGCATGCCAGTTCAAATTAGCAATGGATTCATTTAGAGCAACTAGGTGAGTGGGAAGAATGGAGGAGATGTCAAACTGACTGAAGTCAGGTATCTGGAAGGAATGGGAGGGCAGTGTAGTGTTGGGTGCAGGTGGTGATGCGGTACATGTCGGGATGCACAAACGGCCGAGAACAATTGAGTGGTCCGACTGACCGAGAGGGGCTGAGGGACGCGGATCGCAGATGCTGGCTGCAGTGTCAGTGATCATCAGGTCCAGAGCAGCCTCATTGCCTTTGTGGGAGCGGTGGGTCGAGAATGTGACGTGTTGCTGCAAGGCAAACATGTCAAGAAGACATGAAAGGTGGTGGCCTGCAGTGTCTGTTGTTGTTCCATACCAGGTGGAACATTTAGCATTGAAATCTCCCATGATGAGGACTGGCGAGCCAGGGGTCCGTATTTTAGTCAAGCAGCTTTGAAACGAGGCGTAAAAGTTATCTATCACCGACGGGTCGGTGGACGGTGGGCGGTAGACAGCCGCAATTTGGATGGGCTGCTGGCGCGAGGGGCAAGCAGAGGTTCCAGTGGATGGCGATATCTCTACCCAGGTAGCTTCGAATTGCGGAAGATGTAGGTCTGTACGGTGGGTAATAGGACCAAATGCACTTGATTTTACTAAGATAGCAACACCGCCATAGGCCAGGAAGTCGTTGGTGTTAATTTTATTCTCGGAGGTGGGTCGATCCCTTCGAAAACATTCATAGCCTGGGAAGGAGAGGGAAATTTGTGGACACAGCCAGGTTTCAGTTATGCAAACAACAAGGGGACAGCTGGTCGTGAGAAAGTCGGATAGCTCAGCAGATTTGTTTCTAAGGGAACGTGCATTGATACAGGCTACGGCAAAGGAGGCTAGGGGCGTTGAAGGATAGAAGGGTGTTGCGTTAGGGTCAAGTTGAGGTGTTGGTTTACTCATTGTTCAGATTCAGCCTGATCAGTGTGGAACCTCCATTTCCGGATACTAATTTTGTCAGGCCAGAAACCAGGCCCTTGGATCTTGTCTACACAGTTCTCTCCCACAACCAGGTGGGCATAAGCTGTACCAAAGTACCGTGATTCTGAGATTGAGCAGTGAAAAACTTCGATATCTTTCTTTTTACACCACAGTTCAATTGAGGCAGCATCGCATCCAAGGTCTACATTGCCAAGGTAGAAAGCCGTGCGCTTCACCCGCTCCACGCCCTGAAGGTCAGTGCGTTTGGTACGGGCTGGCTCTTTTGTGAACTGGCTTGTGATAGTGCGTTTCAGTGGACTACCGGTAATGTTGGTGTCGGCTTGTGCAGGGCGGCGGCGGTGTGGGTTTTGCCACCCATTGTCGCTTGTGCTTGTATCTTGCGTTTGAGGTTTGGCGGGCAGGTCAGGTCTGGCCGTTGGGGTACTACTTCTTGTAGTAGTACGTGTACTACCGTCCATGCTGGTGTGTGTGCCTGTTGGTGAGGCAGCTTTCCTTGCAGTGCTACTGTACAATTTCTCTTGGTCAGTGCAAGCTGGGGACGCTACGGGTACGGGATTTGTGGACTGCATTCTCTCTACTACTCCCTTCAGTTGAGCAACTTCTACTTGCAAGGAGACAATGGCGTCTGTCTTGCTCGTTCGAAGACATTCTATTTCTGAAGCCATGCCTTTTATAGTCTCGTTAAGGAGCTGAAAAGTGGAGAGCAGGTCGCTTACCATTTGGTCTGGTGACTTCCGTATTCCTAGTCCTTCCTTGCGAAGGGCAACAACCAAGTCTTGTCGGCCCATTGTCTCCGGGTTGGCCAGTCCTGTAGCTCGGGCAACTGTGAGCAGCTCCTCGTATGTCAGCAGAGCTAAGTCCATATCTTCGTTAGTCGCCATATTATTGAGTCATACATCAACACTAGAACAAATCAGTGTAGGTGCGGTCCTGCCGAAGGCAGCTACACCGGTGAAACAAACTCGACCGCGGAGCGCAAAAACTTGCATCCGCACTCTAGATATACAAAAAAAAAAAAAATAATAATAATAATACTAATACTTGGTCCGCGTCAGCGATATTGTCGCTTATCTTTGAGCTTTGTTTATATGTCGCCAATGCTTACTTGGCAGCCCATTTCATCCCAATTTTGGTTGGCAAGTTAGTTTGCTAGTACCTGAAAGGTCTAGCTAGAGTTCGAGTGGATTTCGAGAGCGACAGGTGGGTGATTCTGATTGATACAGCGCCGCATCAAAATAGATTATCTTGTTACGCTGTGCAGGCAAGAGCAGCGCAAGCCACAAGAAAGTAATCGGCTACTCGGAATCAGCTCCATTTTGCTGAACGGCCGAGATCGCTCACCTCAGGGATCGCTCATCAAGCTGGGATCGCAGCTCCCTTACCTCCAGCTCAACGCTCGGAGTATCCAGCGCGTTGTGGAGATTTGCAAGTACGACTCGTACTGTACGCGTCGTCGTCGTTCAAAATAAAATCTTGCAAAGAACGGCGTCTGATTTGAACCACACAGGGTGTCGTGCTGCCCACGCGAAGTCCTGTAGAGAAGGCGACCGTCACGATCGACTTCTCTTTAGAAAATAGCCAGGCAGCGGAGAGGAAGAGAGATGAGCTTGCAAAAGCAAGAGAGTCGATCCCGAGCAAAAATATTTGTCGCCAGCGCTGAGAGCAGTGACGAGGAGGACCGAAAAAAGTAGGAATCCTTCCTTGGACAATAAATTCCTCGCAGCTAGTTGTCATTCTATACCTTACCGTCCATCGTACCAAGTTTTATCACTTCAAGTGCACGCGTTCATGTCCAAAGTCTAAGTTCAAATTGTCGAAAGATAAGCGACAATATCGCTGACGCGGACCAAGTAAGTGAACAGGCAGTGATTTCTTCGCCCAGCCAACGCTTGGCTCTCGCAGAATGATGAAAAATTAAAGACGGTTGACCGGTGATGTCTGCATCATGTATGCTCCCCAAACTGTTGCTTGCTTGAAGAAGTGCGTGGAAGAGCCATCATAAATGTAGCTGATGATAATCACATCTGCGTAAACGACGGCATGAGTAGAGTGTTCTGAAACGCAGGAACCTATGGTAGTTTCAGTATCCCAGGATGAAAAAGCTATGCACTAACAAAGCCATCGACTCTGATACGGTCTTTCCCACACATACACAAAGCAACAAACCTTCGCAAGTCGGCGGCGCTGTGAACCCGGAAGGGTCTCTGCAGAAGCGGTCATAGGTGTTGTTTGTCAGAACGTATCCCTGGTCACAGGTGATGTTATATTCACTGAAACTTCCGTTGAAAGCTGACGACAAGCCCTGTGCAACTCCATTGCTTATCACTGGTAGACGGCAAAATACTGCAGAGAATGACATAAAGAAAAGCAGTGGGCGCAAGTGAATGCAGCTCCTTGGAATGAAACCAAAGACGAAATATACAGATAGAGTATTAAACAAAGACGGTATTTTACAGACTAAAGGGATGCAACAGCCATGCACCAACATACATTGATACGGTCTTTCCCCCCCCCCCCCCCACACACATACAAAGCAACAAACCTTCGCAAGTCGGCGGCGCTGTAAACCCGGAAGGGTCTCTGCATATGCGGTCATAGGTATCGTTTGTCAAAACGTATCCATGATTGCACGAGATTTTATATTCACTGAACCTGCCGCTGAAGGGTGACGGCAGGCCTTGAGCAACTCCATTGCGTATCACTGGCAGAAGGCAAAATGCTGCATAGAATATAGGAAAGGATGCAATAAAACGAGCGGACATCAGGGGGTGTTTCTATTATCTATGGTTAAGATCAGTGATTTAAACAACAAAACGCAGTCCACAAATCTCTTTCCATAATGATCTCACTTCTTGTCACTTGTGTGTATAATAGTGCATGTGAACTGCGTGCTTTGAGATCTGATTATTGCACAAGTATCGGAGACGTTATGGGAAGAAGATGATAAGTAAATAGCACATGAAAGACTTCAAACTAATACCGCGGGTAGAAACAGATTCTTCTGTGTAACTGCTCACGTTCTACATCAAGATAATGGCTTTAGAATTCGAACTGGGCAGAAAGTGATAAGACTTGAGCATGAATCTCGTGAGAATGGTTCAAACGTCAAGCTGGGTGAAAAGTGGGTGGTTGGGTTGTCAAGGTGAAAGCCCGTACACAAGACGGATTGTTCGTGTACTGGGCCATTCACTGCGCAACATATTCAACTGAACTGCCGAAGGCGGATAAAGTGCATTGAAGTCATGCACTACGTCCAGTTTCACAAGGCTTTACTAGAAGGCAATTCTGCAGCTGTGGTCCATATTATAATTTCATACCGTTGTGAACTATTATAATCGTAAAATCCCATTCCATGCTCAATTGAAGCACGGAACTGGTTGAAATTTGATTTTGAAGACGAGACTTGAACCTTGCGGCTAAAACAGGTCAATTGTTTTTTACGGCAACATTTTGCCGCCTTTACTATTGTGCGTTGTCCTGCATGCCTTCACCCTTCATAATGTTTGAAGTACTCACTGTCCAAGAAGAAGAACATGGAAAGGAGACACATTGTAATAATGATACGTACGTGTACAGCACATTTGGATGTCGTCGACGGCCGAGCGTGTTGTGGAAAACGAAAAAGGGTCTGAAAACGTGAAAGAAACCTGCACAAAAATTTACAAACAGGATTGTGAACATTCACCATAACCCAATTGTGATTATGGTAAGATATCTTATCTCGCAACCTCTTCACCTTTATGTTGCTGTATGTTGCTCTGTTTTGTTGTGTTTTGCGATGCTGTTGCTATGCTGTTGCTATGCTGTTGCTATGCTGTTGCTATGCTGTTGCTATGCTGTTGCTATGCTGTTGCTATGCTGCTGCTGCTGTTGTTGTAGTTATTTTATTTTATATTTTTACACAAAGAACAACTCGAAATGTGACAGGAACAACATTAATCACCTGCTCCACGCTTTAGAGGCACTAAAACATCGATTTTCGGCGAATTCAGTGGAAAATTTGCAAATTCGGCGCAATTATCGGCTATTTCTTCACAGCCATTGACTTCGTCATCTTTTCCTGCTGACCGATTTCGTTAATGCCTTAAGTCACAGTCACCTTTTGCAGCATAATGGTTACAGGGATTGTATTTGCATACCGTAGTGCTGAGGCACAAAACACATCGATTTTCGGCAAATTCAGTGCGAAAAATGCATACTAGTATTCAGCCAAAAGATCGGTGATTTCTTCAAAACCACAGTTTTCGGCGAATTTTTCGGCCGGCCGATTTGGGAAATGCCTAATACTGACACAAGGCAGAACAACAGAGACCAAATACTGACTGTAAAAAAAAAGAGAAGAAAACACGCGGGAACGAGTTACGCGGCAACTATCCACGACTGTAAGAAGATGATAAATGGTCAGAAAGTGCGATAGTTGCCGCATAACTCGTTCTCGTGTGTTTTCTTCTCTCTTTTTTTAAACATTTATTACTGGCTCAGTATCCTAGAATACTTACTCTGTGTCGCCGACTTAGGGTGATGAACCTGGTAGTCATCTTCACCCACCCACTCTCCACCACGCGAGTCTGATTCAAGATGGTCTGGGGAAACGCTGTAAGGTTCCTGACTGGTGAAGCCACCACTCGAAGGTCGACGGAAAGGCCTGCGTAATACCAGAACTGCAGATTGCAGGACACGTTCTCTTTTGGTTTGATACCACGTGATTCCAGTATGGCATACCGATCAGCAGTGGACTGAAACTCCGTAGTCAGGGAGTACCCTGTAAACATGCACAAATGGAATACCTCAGGAAATCATGACAGAACATCATGACAACGGAAGCGGATACTCCAAAGCAACAAACTTTCGGCGCATCTTTTGAATATTCGTCTCTTTTCGGCGTGACCCTCGGACCCTCGGCAGCTGAAATGTTGAATTTATATGCTGCAGTATGACAGTGCAAGCAGGAGGGCTATAGTGGATGAAATGTAATGTGGCCGAAAAGGATTGTGGCCCACGGAGGCTGAATTATGAAATTAATTATAACAGGCGGAAAATTTGTAGAAAATGCAGAAAGTCTGCAAAATGTTCGGATTTGAGTTCGGAGACAAAAGGGAGTCGCCCAATGGAAGTTACACCTTTGTTAAAGGCATCTTGTGACGAACTCCTTTTTGACCTAGCTCCAAGCTTTGACATAGCAGGTTTTGTCACGACTACATGCCGTCCTGAGTTACCATGCTCATACTGTAAATATACAAAATTTCGGCACTTCACGATTTTTGACATTTCGGCGGCGATTTATTTTCGGCGTGGGGTAGAGAGCATGGTATAGTGCGACAGATGCTGTGAAAATTTTCATCGGCGTTTTAATTTAGGCGTTTAGGGTCGGTGCCGAATACAGCCGAAATTAAATAGCTGCCGAAAATTTGTATATTTACAGTACAGGATTGTACTGTTCGCCTTGCAAACACCGACACTCGATTGATGTCCTTGATCACGAGCTGATTCTCATCTTGTGGTTGAAAGCATGCAACCTATGCTATTCATGAGTTTCTATTATTCTAGATGTATTTATCTGCGAATTTGAATTAATTCAAATGAAAAATATTTCTAGACGGCTTCGTCTGCAAACCATGGGATTGTGGACATCCCACCAAAACATTACAACTATCACTACTGAGCCAGAGAATGTCCAGTAAAACCTAGTGTAAGCGACCACCCCACGGTGCAAGCAAAAGCGGCTGTTAAAGCCAGGTGGTCTTTTAGAACCAGGTCCCAGAATGTCTGTGTAGTACTGTCGGTGCATTGAAAAACGGTCCTTCAAAGAGCACTTGGTCGCTAAACACAGAGGTCGCTTAGGCCCTTATCACACTGCGTTCAAAAGTCGCGTTTGCGTCTGCGTTTTCTTCGGTTTTTGACGGTCGCCTAGTAAATGCCATCACGTGACGTTATCGCGAGCGCCAAGGTTTCCAGACGCACAGCCGCAGACGCAGACGCAAACCAGGGGGGGGGGGGAGGGGGTGGTCAAAACCGAATCGCGTAAACGCAGATCGGACTTTCTTTATCGCAGCACTTCCTGCATTGTTTTTGAGTGTTTTCAAGTGATTCTCAAGTGTGCTTTTCAAATCTTCATTTCCATCTAGTTGCTGAGGCCGGCGAGGGTACTTCTACTACATGTACTGATTGATTTTGGATTCGCGAGGCATGGAGCTGATGCGAGCTCGTGGCTGAGGTTGTGCTGACTAGTTGGCGACGGCTAGCCTAGCTGGACGATGTGCCTCAACAACGGAACTGCCACCCCAACACAGGCAACGCAACGGCTGCAGTCTTCCCATCGACTCCCATTCCCCCAGCGCCACTGACAAAGGACATAGGAGCAGAAACAGAACACTTCTCGATCTCAGGAAAATAAATTCAACATCCACGGCCACCTCAAGATCGATTCCCCACATTTTTGTATTTTCCCGCGCGCACAGATTTTGACGCAAACGCTGAAAATCACAAGTATAGTATGATATCACGTCTTGCGTTTTCCAATCTCAAACGCAAACGCAGACGCAAACGCGACTCAAACAAACGCAGTGTGATAACGGCCTTACACCAGGTTGTACTGTGCAAAGTAGCAGCAGCAATTATGACGACAGAAGTAACGCTAGAAGAATTTACCTTGCCTTCCCATATAGGATTCTGTACGTTCCCAATAGTTGGGTGTGTCTGAGGCGTTTTTATAGCCCCCAAAGCCCTCCTCAAATGTTACTGCGTCACCACATCCTGAAGAACAGGAGACAATGGACAACAAGGTCAGTAGCAATTTTACGTCTGATGATCGAGTCAGTCCGTGAAACTCAGAGTTACGAATAAAGAACTGCTCGTCCGTCTGTCTGTGTATTCCGCTCTTTGCTTTCGGCAAATTGAGCCCTCTACGGACTGCGGATGAACTTCACATGGAGATGATCCTTTATAATTATTGATTTATAGAGCAAGAGTGGCCAACATGATTCACATACATGTAGATAGATTTTGTTATAATATTATTTTTCAAGACATTTTGTCGTTCTAAACAACATCGTCAACGCATACGACTTGTTCTAACTCTGTGAAGGAATTGAACAGTCCCGAAACTGTGCACCTCCTGAATTTCTGACATATCTGGAAAATGGTCTAACTGCATAATTATTTTCTCTACGGTGTTAAGTTAACAGTTGAAGATTGAGCACTCACCTTCATTTGTGTTTCCGCTCGTCATGGAAACATGAGTTGCCAGCGCTATCACTAACAACACTAGCTGCATTGTGCTTTGTGTCATCTAATGCGGACATGCAGGGAAAGGCATTTCCATTGGAATACATAGTCACAAACATTCACACACGCACACCGACGCACACAGACAGACATACACACACAGACAGACACACACACACACACCGACGCACATACACACACACACACACACACACACACACACACACACACATACATGCGCATATACATACACACATACAAGCCTACATGCATAGAACAACATTGACGTCATAGTGCTCAATTTCCGACATACAGAGCTTGACTACAAATCAAACAAAATACTCAATCTGCAGGCAGAACTGTTTCGTCCTTTGTGATCTCAGTGGCGCAGCACAGAGGAAATGAGGCCGAACAAAATACCAAACAAAATAATGTATATTTCAACTCAGAGTTTCATGCTGAAAAGCAATCATCAGGACTATTTCAGCTTGTGCTTGTCCTGGTTGCGTGCACCTTCCCCTCCTATGTTTCGACTAAAACTTAGAACCTTCCAACTCAGACTTCCAACTTGGAAGACGGCTGCTGGCGTGCTCATCCAAGGCGTGCTCTAGTAGAGCTGATTGGCAGCATTAGAACGTCACATCATCGTCCAGTGTCGCGCAATGTTATCGCATGAGCTGATTGTCAAGTAACTGGTGGTGTTAGAGGACATTATAGCGTGATTTGTAGTTCCTTGGTCCTTTACTTGGCATAACACTAATCCCTGCCTCTCCATCCGAGTTTAATGCATAACACCATCAATTCCAAATAAGGAACAGGGAAAAGAGTCCACATACAAATGGGCTCCGTCGAAGAGCCATCAGAGAGATTGTGAAGCATTCCATATGAGCACCAACTGGCGCATTACATCCCTGCACTTGGGTATACTACATGAATCAAGAGTTCAAACTTGTTTTGGGATCTCCATACTCCTCCTACTCTCGTGCGATTGGTACACTTCACTAGAGAAAACCTTCCCAAAAAGGACAAAATTAATGTTTCATGAAAGGCCAGATACACACTGAAGTACACCCATACCAAGACCAAGACGCCATAAATATGTTTTATGGACGATTTTTCGTTCGTGCGTGAGATCTATCAAAGATGTACTATAGAGAATCGTGACTGTGCGACAGGACCATCGACTCTAGCCTCCTTTCGACAGTGACTCACCCAACATGATCTTCCCCCGATGTGTGTGTGTGTGTGTGTGTGTGTGTGTGTGTGTGTGTGTGTGTGTGTGTGTGTGTGTGCGTGCGTGCGTGTGTGTGTGCGTGTGTGTGTGTGTGAGGTGCATCTAAATTCCTAATCATGGTCGAAATAACAAAAAAGGTATGTTACAGCATCAATGCAAGCTTATTCCCTATTTCACGATTGCATGTATGGCGATGATCAAACACGAAAACCAGGGAGTCGTAAAATACCTTTTATTTTATTTTTTATTTTACGACTCCCTGACGAAAACCAACCCATAACACTGTACTATCATTATGCAGGTAGACGATCCACACTGCAGACTACAAGGTTGCTACGTTTGAACTTTCCATATTAGTTCTAGTTCTGAAAGACTGTCAATGGCCAAGTATTGAACTCTCCTCGGTAATGCAGTGGCACACAGTTGGGAACGGCGCGCAATATCAGTACATACATGTACATATAGCTGGATACGGAAACATAGCCAACATAACGAGAGAGCTTGGAAGCTCAGGGCCCTACGCTATGCTTTTTTGCCTTGATGACCTAGACAAAAAAAGCATAGAGATGTTATAAATTCTTATAAATTTCTCCTTTTTTTAAGACATAACCTGGAATTCGAACCCGCACTATCGCCCTGCATGCATCCCCCGATACACTTCGCATACATACTAATTCTTCCAAGTTGCTTCACGTTATGATCTTGCATTTGAAAGCCCTATTTGAATATGCATTGTGGCCAGCCGTCTTTGATGGTACGGTACGGGACAGGTACGGTCGAGGATAATACGACACCGTCTATCGCCTTGATGACCTAGGCAAAAAAAGCATAAGGATGTTATAAATTTTTCAATTCTCCTATTTTTTTTAAGGCATAACCTGGGATTCGAACCCGCACTATCGCCCTACATGCATTCCCCCATACACTTCGCATTCATACTCATTCTTCCAAGTTGCTTCACGTTATGATCTTGCGTTTGAAAGCCCTATTTGAATATTGCGGCCAGCTGTATGTGGCCAGCTGTGTTTGATGGTACGGTACGGTACGGGACAGATACAGGATAGCGCCAGGCGTGACACAAACACACAAACAAACACACAAATACCAAATTAAAGCTGTGTGGACCCTGGCTAGCGCCAGACGTTACTGAAGTAACGTCTGGCGCTAGCCAGGGTCCACACAGCTTTAATTTGGTGTTTGTTTGTGTCACGCCTGGCGATATCCCGTATCTGTCCCGTACCGTACCATCAAAGACAGCTGGCCACAAACAGCTGGCCACAACATTCAAATAGGGCTTTCAAATGCAAGATCTTAACGTGAAGCAACTTGGAAGAATGAGTATGAATGCGAAGTGTATCGGGGAATGCATGTAGGGCGATAGTGCGGGTTCGAATCCCAGGTGATGCCTTAAAAAAAAATAGGAGAATTGATAAATTTATAACATCCTCATGCTTTTTTTTTGCCTAGCTCAATTATAGGTTTCATGTATATCCTGCTGGTTTGTCTCCTCCTTTGCCTTCTTTGCCTTTTATTTGTATTCTTTTATCTGTTTTACTGCTGTGGTTGGCTTTCACCCTTGTCTCAGTTTTTACTGGCCGTCATCATGATGTGCCATGAGATAATGATATAAATACATACAAAAAGGTTATCAAGGCGGTAGACGGTGTCGTATTACCCTCGCCCGTACCTGTCCCGTACCGTACCGCACCATCAAAGACGGCTGGCCACAATATTCAAATAGGGCTTTGAAATGCAAGATCATAACGTGAAGCAACTTGGAAGAATTAGTATGTATGCGAAGTGTATCAGGGGATGCTTGCAGGGCGATAGTGCGGGTTCGAATCCCAGGTTATGCCTGAAAAAAACATCCCTATGCTTTTTTTTGTCTAGGTCATCAAGGCAAGAAAGCATAGCGTAGGGCCCTGAGCTTCCAAGCTCTCTCGTTATCATCATGTGTGAGAACTAGACCTGGTCTAGTGAGAAGGCATTCTACTGCCTGTAATTCTGGTGAAGTAAAATAAAGTAACAACAATATCTCCGCACTATCGTCTCTTGCCCGTGTCTCTTCATGTCACCCTTTTTTTCTTCTTCACGTTGTGTGTACGTTCGCACCAGGTTCCTTTTCATGGAGCAGTTCTCCATTGTAGTGAAGGGCCATAAAAATTACATCATAATGAGTTATAACTAAAGGTCCACCAAAGCAACCAGGTCATACTGCACATTCAGCGAGTGAGACCACAACTGACCATCAACCATCAACAACAACCGACAACAACCATCAACAACAGGCCCTTAGCAGCCCCATTTTGGTTGGTCCGGCAAGATCCGAACTCGATGCCCCCCCCCCCCCCCCCCCCCCGAGCCCACACTCCTAATAGTCCTACCGTGACATATGCCGGTACATGTACAGGTACAAAATGTACATGATTGTACGTGCATGTACATGCATGTAATCGTGACCATGCAGAGTGACATAGGGCGAGAAAAGGAAGAAGGATGTTCTGCATGAGTGAGGAAAAAGGGCATCAGCATGTTGTGTCCGTCCAAACAGAACTTGTTGAAGCCTATGAAGGCATAGCAACAGTATCTAAACGCATGTGATAAAAGAACCAAAAATGGACCTTTGGTCCCTTGGAGGAGGAGAAAGGACATTGCAATGGAGGAATGGTAGGAGGTCATAAAGTACAGGACAACACCCACATGGATCTATGTACATGGTATTTGCAACAACATGTACATGATATGTACTACTACAGTAAGATCGGGCGCCGAAGAACGCAGGGGCTCGAGCGCAGCCTAGGAAAGTTCTTAAATTTTAGATTCTAGCCAGACCGTTCTTATTCCCACGCGCGCGCGGCGAGTTGAGTGACGTCATGACGTTTGTCATGTACATGTACATGTACATGTAGTGCAATGTAGTACTTCTAAACTAGTGGGTGTCGTAAATAGGAATGACTGTACATGTAGCAGTTACTGTTTACACGTGTACATGACATGTACTCACCTCCCATACATGTACAATGTATACAATTTTAAAAGTGTTCTTAAATCTGATAATTCTAGCCTGGACTGTTCTTAAATTTTGCCGGTTTTCCAGCCTGGGTGTTCTTCGGCGAGGTGTTCTTCGGCGCCCGATCTTACTGTAGAGTTCAAAGTATATCCTCTTGCTATCACCATGTACTACCTCTACTTATATACCTCACTACGGCTCTACTTATTGCACACATCATGGGTGGACATCCTGAGCTGCTTACATGTGTGAGCTCCTGCTTTTTTTTTGCTTTTTTTTTTTTTTTTTTTTTTTTTTTTGGCCGAACAATGGTCCGGCAGCTACCGGACCTGCCGGACCGCCTGCTACGGCCCTGATACAACCATCTGAGTTCAAATTCACCATTTACTATGCCAATTGTTTCACTCCAAGTCAAAGCAACAAATACACTGCTACGCACGACCTCATTGAGCCTATTCTAGGGATTGAGTTCATTTTTGCCTCCCGGGTGCAATGCTTGAGTGCTTTTCTTTCTCTGCATCATCATTAAAAAAATTATGCAGTCAATAAAACACGCTTCCTAACAAACAAACCGCGCTATCTGGTCCAAAGGAAAGTACAAGTCAACATTTACCTGAGCCATGTCGCATGCGGTCGCAGCAGAAGTTCCCACCAAGCACTGGCCTAGGCAGACGGATCGATTTCAAAAGCAAAGTCAACGCGTTGATTTCGTCAGTTTTTAGACAAATATCCAGGACCAGAACGATAACAGTCAGATTGCGATGGTGCTTATTCTGCCCGGCTCCAACAACGAGCTCAAAAGATTAGTTCAAAAGGATCTTCAAGGTATAATTCAACAAGTAGGGTCTGGTCTTCACGATACACACAAAAGTGTAACAAGCTTCGTCTTCAACAAGTCTCAGTATGAAATTGCCCGGCTTGGTAGAAGCAATGAGCAAAGCAGCACATATCCTGACACGATCACTGATGGCCTCGAACCCTTTTGTGCAATCAATTGGTGTAGGGTACCGAGTCCTAAGAGTACCACCTAAGTCCTTATGAGGGCACTAGCGGTCATAACAATAAGGAATTGCTACGCACATCATAGTACGACGGGCAGGCGTGTATATATGTGTTGCATGCGAACTTAAAGGGGCACTCCGGGAATTTTTTCGGTGGTGTGTTCTCTTCATGGGGGCCTTATATGCTGTGCTAGACCCAAAGCACCGGGCAATCGTGTACCGTGGCTTTGTCCGCCCTGTGTTAGAGTATGGCATGCTGGTGTGGATGAGCGCAGCCCCCACCACCTTGGCCCGCCTCACTGCCATCCAGCGCCGTGCCCTGCACATAATTGGAGATGGATCATACCTCCCGAGCCTCGACATTCGCCGTACCGTAGCAGGGCTCTGCTTTCTGTACAAGCTGCACTTTGTGGAGGGTCCGGAAATGGTGAAAGCCATTCTGCCACCATCAGCAGCCGCACCGCAATGCCGCATGTCTACTCGTGAGACAACCAGATCTGCAACACATCATCCATCACAACTCACCAGTATTCTTCCTCCTCAGTCACAAAACAACACGCTCCGCTCATTTCCCCACTCCCTCATCGCAACGTGGAATCAGCTCCCACCTACCCTTCTGCAGTCTCCCCCTTCTCGCAGAGGTATGCACACGTTCAAGAAAAACGTCAACGACCACTTGCGGCACAGCAAGTGGGAGTGGGCCACAGACAGGCTATGATCTCTGCCAACACACCAGCCTAATTATTCTGACCGCACTCCAGCTCCCTTCTACCCCTCTTTGATCCCCTTCGCTCAGCCTTAAAATCCGATTATCAGTTCACTCCATCTTCCTACGGTGCACTGCTTTTACTATTGTTTTGTCCTATCTCAATCCCAAATTCTCCCCATTATCGTTTGCACAGCCGGTGCTTCCCTCTTGGATGACCATGTTTCTTTTCTCCTATGTATCGGCGCACAGGGGTAACGATGATTCCGAGACCTTTGGTCGGAGGAGTTACTTTTGCCCCGCCCCCACTTCCATCCAATATGCCATCGCCCCGCTGTGCAGCATCTGATGGTACTGTGGAATTCAGTAAAAAAAAAAATATATATATATATATATATATATATATGGGCCCAAGGAATGGGGAATCGCGAAAACTAGACCCAAAAAGTTGATATATGAAGCCAGGGAGCTAGCCGGAGGGCCAAGTGCTTCATAATCATATCGACTTTTTGGGTCTAGTTTCCGCGATTCCCCATTCCTTGGGGGCCATATAAGGCCCCCATGAAGAGAACGCACCACCGAAAAAATTCCCGGAGCGCCCCTTTTAAATAAGTACTTGGAGAAAACGCCAGATTTGGACGATGTGCATATGATGTGCTGGTGTGAGTATAATTGTAGTGTTTTAGTCCGTGACTCACAACACCCAAAACAAAGCACAACCGTAGTTCACTTGTCCAGTACGCAACTGGTTGAATATTACAGAGTAGAGCAATATAAAAGGAAGATAATGGAGGTAGTCCAAACACACGAGATAGCTAGTATGCAGGAATGGATGAATGCCAAGTGCGGTCATTCGACACTTCCATAAGGTCTAGCATTACCAACAATAGTCTGGCCCTCAGGTGATTCACAATGTCTGTGGTTACAAACACCACAGTCCTCCCTTCTAAAATGGTACATACATACATGGATGTGTAGTTCCGATATGATCAACATGACCGGGGTTGTTTCTACTTTCTACAGGCCCAAGCGAGACACTTGCTTGCGTGTCCGCAGCGATCGGCGTAGAGTCGGAGTCGGTGAGGCGTCAGTTGTGTCGTTGGTAGCGTCAGCCTCGTGCTGTTGTAGCACTGCAGCCGGCTCAGGCTCGGGTGCTTCTGCTGCGGTCGGGTGCTGCACTGGAGGGAGACATGGTGCAGCCACAGATTGTGTCGGCTCATCCACCATGAAGGACGGGTGTCCCGCACGTAGCTGATCCAGGTGTCGCTTCCACTGTGCGCCTTGGCTGGTGACAATCATGTACGTACGAGACCCAAGCTTCTCGAGTATGGTCGCTGGGATCCATCCGGGATGGTTGGCGTTCCGGTAATCACGTGCTAGAACGGCGCCTCCAACCTCGAAGGATCGTGCCTTGCCAGGAGGCTCTCCGGTGGGCGTCTTGGCATTCTGTTGTGCCGTTGACGGTCGCAACAAATCCAGACGTGATCGTAGCTGACGGCCTAGGAACAGCTTCGCAGGCGTTGTGTTTGTAGCCGGATGGACTCCTCGGCGGTAGCTCATCAAGAACCGGTCAGCAGCAATCTGTGCAGGTGTTGACTGTGGTACTGCCTGGATTGCCCGTTTAAAGGTCTGGACGAACCTTTCAGCTTGGCCGTTCGTCGCTGGATGATACGGCGCTGAGCGTCTGTGAGCGATACCGTTCGAGGCGAGGAACTCGGCAAACTCTGCAGATGCAAATTGTGGACCATTGTCGCTGACGATGAGGTCTGGGCAACCATATCTGGCGAATACTGTCCTGAGACTCGCGATGGTAGCCAAAGACGTTATGGAAGGCATCGGAATGACTTCGGGCCATTTTGAATGGGCATCGACAATGACGAGCCACATCGTTTGCCGCAATGGACCAAGGTAATCTACGTGGACGCGCTGCCACGCGCGGTCTGGCATGCTCCATCGGTGCACTGGTGCTGCAGCAGGTTCGCTCTGGACACTTTGGCATCCGAGGCATGCTTTGACTGCGTCTGCTATGTCGCCGTCAAAGCCCGGCCACCAGAGGATGCTTCTCGCCAATGCCTTCATTCGTACCATTCCTGGATGGCCTTCATGAAGCTCTGTCAGGACAGCTTTCCGGGGGTCCGGCGGAATGATGACGCGATTGCCCCATAGCAAGCACTCGCTGCTAACGCTGAGCTCGTTGCGGCGTTGGAAGTTCTGCTGTAGCTCTGCTCTTGGGCACGACTTCGGCCAACCTTGTTGCACATAGCGATGGACCTCACGCAATAGCGGGTCGCTGGCTGTTGCCTCCTTGATCTGCTCCGCTGTTCGCATTGGTCCATGTAGAACATGTTGACCGCTTCCTCTGCCGTATCTGGAACTGGAGGATTTCCTACCGGCAGGCGTGACAATCCGTCGGCGTTGCAATGCTTGTCTGTTTGGCGGTACATGATCGTGTAGTCATGTCCGGCCAGGAACATCGCATCGCGTTGAAGACGTGCTACGGTCATAGCAGGCAGGCCTTTCCTCGGGTGGAAGATTGATACCAACGGCTGGTGGTCCGTGAGCAGCTCAAAATGCCGGCCGTACAGGTAGTTGTGGAAGCGTTTCACACTCCACACGATTGCGAGCGCTTCACGGTCGATCTGCGAGTATGCCTGTTCCGCATTCGAGAGCTTTCGAGAGGCATATGCGATCGGTCGCTCTTCTCCAGGTGGCAGGATGTGCGACAAGACCGCTCCAACCCCATATGGTGACGCATCACTTACGAGACGAACGGGCAGTGTCGGGTCATAGTGTGTGAGCACCTGTTGGGATGACAGCACCTGCTTGACCTCTTGGAAGGCTGGTCGGCACTCATCTGTCCATTCGAACGCCGCTCCTTTTTGCAGCAGGGCTGTTAGTGGACTCAGGATAGTTGATGTAGTGTTTTAGTCCGTGACTCACAACACCCAAAACAAAGCACAACCGTAGTTCACTTGTCCAGTACGCAACTGGTTGAATATTACAGAGTAGAGCAATATAAAAGGAAGATAACTAGTGGAGGTAGTCCAAACACACGAGATAGCTAGCATGCACGAATGGATGAATGCCAAGTGCGGTCATTCGACACTTCCATAAGGTCTAGCATTACCAACAATAGTCTGGCCCTCAGGTGATTCACAATGTCTGTGGTTACAAACACCACAGTCCTCCCTTCTAAAATGGAACATACTTCTGGGACTAGAGTAAAGATCGTAAACGTCAAGAAGAAGATTGAGACATAGAAACATGAGCATACAGTGATGTGTAGTTCTGACATGATCAACATGACCGGGACTGTTTCTACTTTCTACAGGCCCAAACGAGACACTTGCTTGCGTGTCCGCAGCGATCGGCGTAGAGTCGGAGTCGGTGAGGCGTCAGTTGTGTCGTTGGTAGCGTCAGCCTCGTGCTGTTGTGGCACTGCAGCCGGCTCAGGCTCGGGTGCTTCTGCTGCGGTCGGGTGCTGCACTGGAGGGAGACATGTTGCAGCCACAGATTGTGTCGGCTCATCCACCATGAAGGACGGGTGTCCCGCACGTAGCTGATCCAGGTGTCGCTTCCACTGTGCGCCTTGGCTGGTGACAATCATGTACGTACGAGACCCAAGCTTCTCGAGTATGGTCGCTGGGATCCATCCGGGATGGTTGGCGTTCCGGTAATCACGTGCTAGAACGGCGCCTCCAACCTCGAAGGATCGTGCCTTGCCAGCAGGCTCTTCGGTGGGCGTCTTGGCGTTCTGTTGTGCCGTTGACGGTCGCAACAAATCCAGACGTGATCGTAGCTGACGGCCTAGGAACAGCTTCGCAGGCGTTGCGTTTGTAGCCGCATGGACTCCTCGGCGGTAGCTCATCAAGAACCGGTCCAGCAATCTGTGCAGGCGTTGACAGTGGTACTGCCTGGATTGCCCGTTTACAGGTCTGGACGAACCTTTCAGCTTGGCCGTTCGTCGCTGGATGATACGGCGCTGAGCGTCTGTGAGCGATGCCGTTCGAGGCGAGGAACTCGGCAAACTCTGCAGATGCAAATTGTGAATCCATTGTCGCTGACGATGAGTTCTGGGCAACCATATCTGGCGAATACTCTCCTGAGACTCGCGATGGTAGCCAAAGACGTTGTGGAAGGCATCGGAATGACTTCGGGCCATTTTGAATAGGCATCGACAATGACGAGCCACATCGTTTGCCGCAATGGACCAAGGTAATCTACGTGGACGCGCTGCCACGCGCGGTCTCGCATGCTCCATTGGTGCACTGGTGCTGCAGCAGATTCGCTCTGGACACTTTGGCATCCGAGGCATGCTTTGACTGCGTCTGCTATGTCGCCGTCAAAGCCCGGCCACCAGAGGATGCTTCTCGCCAATGCCTTCATTCGTACCATTCCTGGATGGCCTTCATGAAGCTCTGTCAGGACAGCTTTCCGGTGGTCCGGCGGAATGATGACGCGATTGCCCCATAGCAAGCACTCGTTGCTAACGCTGAGCTCGTTGCGACGCTGGAAGTACTGCTGTGGCTCTGCTCTTGGGCACGACTTCGGCCAACCTTGTTGCACATAGCGATGGACCTCACGCAATAGCGGGTCGCTGGCTGTTGCCTCCTTGATCTGCTCCGCCGTTACTGGGAGTGGTTCGCATTGGTCGATGTAGAACATGTTGACCGCTTCCTCTGCCGTATCTGGAACTGGAGGATTTCCTACCGGCAGGCGTGACAATCCGTCGGCGTTGCAATGCTTGTCTGTTTGGCGGTACATGATCGTGTAGTCATGTCCGGCCAGGAACATCGCATAGCGTTGAAGACGAGCTACGGTCATAGCAGGCAGGCCTTTCCTCGGGTGGAAGATTGATACCAACGGCTGGTGGTCCGTGAGCAACTCAAAATGCCGGCCCTACAGGTAGTTGTGGAAGCGTTTCACACTCCACACTATTGCGAGCGCTTCACGGTCGATCTGTGAGTATACCTGTTCCGCTTTCGAGAGCTTTCGAGAGGCATATGCGATCGGTCGCTCTTCTCCAGATGGCAGGATGTGCGACAAGACCGCTCCAACCCCATATGGTGACGCATCACTTGGGAGACGAACGGGCAGTGTCGGGTCATAGTGTGTGAGCACCTGTTGGGATGACAGCACCTGCTTGACCTCTTGGAAGGCTTGTCGGCACTCATCTGTCCATTCGAACGCCGCTTCTTTTTGCAGCAGCGCTGTTAGTGGACTCAGGATAGTTGACATCTTCGGAATGAAGCGTTGATAGTAGGCGATGAGCCCCAGAAAACTGCGTACTTGCGGCACATTCTCCGGCGGTGGAGCATCACAAATTGCATCAACCTTGCTCGGCACCGTGTGCATGCCCTGTGCGCTGATGGCGTGGCCACAATATTCCACTTTCGGCTGAAAGAAGTGGCATTTGGCCAGGTTGAGCTTGAGGCCCACATCAGCGAGACGTTGGAGCACCTTCATCAGCGTGTTGAGGTGTTCCTCCGGTGTGCGGCCAGTGACGATGATGTCATCGATCATGCACTTAACGCCTGGCAGGTCTCGTAGCAGAGAATCCATGGCTCGTTGCCATAGCGCGGGAGCAGACGCAATCCCGTATGGGAGACGGTTGAGTCGAAACAGACCCAGATGGGTGTTGAGCGTAAGCAGGGGCTTCGACTCATCGTCCACCTCCATCTGCGTGTACGCTGCCTTCAGATCGAGTTTTGTAAACTCTCCAGAGAGTTTTGTAAACTCTTGCCCTCTGGAGAGTGAGGCAAAGATCTCCTCGATGAGCGGCAACGGGTGTTGGTCGATGTGGAGCTGGGGATTCACCGTCACCTTGAAGTCTCCACATAGCCTGACCTCGCCGTTTGGCTTCAGAACAGGTACCACAGGTGTTGCCCATTCGCTCCACTCCACCGGAGTGAGGATTCCAGCAGCCTCCATGCGACGTATCTCTGCTTCAACCTTGGGTTTCAGCGCCATTGGCACCGATCGTGCCTTGACAAACTTTGGAGTCGCATCAGACTTCAGCGTGAGCTTGGCTTTCGCCCCCTTGAACAATCCTTGTTCATCATTGAATACCGCTGCAAATTCACGTTGTAACTCCTGGAGTGAGGATTTCACATTCCTAGCCGCCAACTCTGTCCAGTTGAGGCGAAATTGCTGGAGCCATGTGCGTCCTAGCAATGCTGGGCCCTCGCAGTCGACCACGTACAGCTCAGCCTCCGCTTGCTGACCGTTGATGGTGACAGGCAAGCGCAGCACGCCTCGCGATCGAAGCGATTCACCGTTGTAGGCTTGCAGCACCAGTTTTGCTGGGCGAAGCGGGTGTTCGGAGAACAAGTGCACGTATGTTGCGGCTGGTAAAACAGAGACACCAGCGCCCGTGTCTACTTCCATAGATAACTCCTGTCCCGCGATCTGTGCGGTTATCGTGAGTGGTGCTGGTGGCTTTCCGCTCGACTGGATCTTGGAGACACGCACCTAGCGAATGCTGGACTGGTCGTCCTCGTCGCTCGCAAACAAAAATAGTTGTGACCTGTCATCGCTGAGCCTTTGCGCTTGAATGATCTGGGTCGCGGAGTTGGTCGCGCTCCTGGCTGCTCAGCTGGCTTGCTTCGGCAAACCCGCTGCAAGTGGCCTTTCTTACCACACGCATTGCAAACTTCGTCCTTGTAGCGGCAGTCAGGCGCCTTGTGTCCAACGCCACCACAGCGAAAACACGTAGATCGTGCACCAGGCACAGGCTTTCTCGATAGGGTGCGAAGTTTGTGGACACCACCGCTAGCGTTCTTCGTATCCGTCGCGGAGACTTCCAGAGCGTCCCTGGTGGCCAGCTCATCAGCCAGCGCGTCCTTGACGGCGTTGTCGAAAGACTTTAAGTCAGTGCGTCCGTGGCCAGGAGTTTCCTCCGCGTACCTGCACTCCTCAGTCCGCAGACGAAGCGATCTCGCAGAGCTTCTGCAAGATGGGCATTGAACTCGCAGGTCCTTGCCAAACGGCGAAGTTCAGCCACGTAGGCGGCGATCGATTCTCCTGGACGTTGGTCCCTCTGTTAGAATCGGTATCGTTCTCCAATGACAAGTGGTTTCGGTGCGAGATGTCTTTTTAGAGCCGCGCAGAGTTCCGCAAACGTCTTGTCAGTTGGGGCGTTCGGGGCCAGCAAATCTTGCAGCAGTTCAAATGCTGGACCTCCGATGACCGTGAGCATCGTTGCTCGCTTCAGGTCATTATCATCGATGCCGTTGGCTGCCAAATACTGCGTCAAGCGTAGTTCTTCCGTCGACCAGTTTCCGCCAGTGACATCAAACAACTCAATGTGTCCATGAGTCGCCATAGCC